CTCTCACACACACACACACACACACACACACTCACACACTCACACACGCTGTGCGAGATGCGGCTTGTGCGCGCGCTTCAGGTGTGAGGTCAGACAGCAAGACAAGACGGCAAAGAGTTGTTTTCTGCAACTTATTGCACTTAACTTTTTAACGTCAAGCAATTCTCTGCTATATGCGTCGAACTAAAACTTTGACATTTTGCAACGTTTTGATTCAAGTAGCCTATTAAAATTATTCAGATATCGCACGCCATTGCGATATGCATATCACGATATTTACATTTGCGATATATCGTGCAGCCCTACTTAATGGAGAATACAAGACTTCTTAACCAAAACAAATGTCTGTAAAAGTAAAAATGCAACAAAATGCATCATATTTAGTGAGAAAGTGTGACATGCTCCAGCAAAACAGACACTAGTTTTTGCATTCAGCACAGAAATTTTTTTGTAAGAAACACTTACTGTATTTCATTCAGTAAATAGAATGCAGGTCTGAGGCTCAAGTGTCTTACCTTTATAACCCGGTCTGCCAATCTTGACAAACTTCTTCACCTCAACCTTGACTTTCTCTGGAGCGGGTTGAGCCGGCGCATCCTTCGCCTCTTTTGCAGCTCGTCTTGCTCTAAAATAGAAAAGTACAGACAACACAATGAGTTGCTCCTCTACACTGAACATCATCCTGATGATCACAGCTCCAGAAATGCACTTACAAGTTAGTCTGATGCTTTTTGCCCTGCGTGTGAGCGAGGTAACTTCCCTAGAAGAGGAACATCACAGACACAATGAGAGTCATGTTTAAGGAGGACGAACGTTTGTAAAGTGCATTAGCGTCACTCATACCTCATTATTGTGCAGCGTGAGACACAGTTTACACTCATAAGAGCCCAAGTGGTTTTTCATGAAGTACGGGTCTTTGTTGATGTCTATGGTCTCTAAGGCCAGCTGGCGCAGACGCTCACGCCGGTCTCGGTTGCTTTCGGACGACGAGGCGACGCCACCGCTGCCGGTTTTCCCTCCAGCTCTGTGCTGGAAATCCATGATGACAGATCTCACTCCTCACACTGCTGCTCCTGGAATCACAGAAGAGGAAAACACGTCTAAACATGGCAGAAAATCATCTGAAATTCAAAGAGTTTGATGGTTGAACTGTCAGAACTCAAAACGTCCCGCCAGCACACTCTTATTTCAAAATGTACTGAAAAATAGTGTACACAAATCTGCAAAGATGTGGAGGGTAGCCTACAATAACAGAGGAGATCTTGATCCTGTTATACTCGCATATAGAAGTCTGAAACTTACAGCAAACAGCTTCTTAAATGGTAAGGGTCAGTGAGATATAAATAGACACCAAAATAAATTATGAATGTGTTTAGAGCAAGAAACCTTGACTTATAATAAGTGGATTTAAGAAGGGGGGAAAAATGCAAACGTGTATATAATCATATTTACGGTAGGAGTAAAAAGATATGCCACTAATAAAATCACTTATCAATTACAATAGTAACACACACACACTCTCTACACACACACACACACACACACACACAGTTAGTACATAAAGCACTGAATCGAACTGACTTCAAAGCTGCATTTTTAACGAATCATAACAAACGCCGAACGCTCATTAAAATACTTGAGTAAACCTAAAGTATAATACCAAAAGTATAAGTAAATATTATTTTGATTGAGAAATTCTTTGTGAAAACATTTCTTACCTAACGTCCAGATCACGCTTGCCGCCGCCGTAATGCGCATGCGCGCTGAGTGATGCACTTCCGGTTCCTGTTATTTTGAAGCACGCAACTTTATTGATAAAGATAAGATAAAAATGCCACAGCAAAAGTGTGTTTTCCCTTACAGACGCGCTGTAAACTAGTTTCACTGCACCGCGATCAACGAGGATGTATAAAAGTCAAAAAAAAAAAAAAAAGGTCAGGTTTTAGTAAAAAGGTAAGTGACAGGACGTCACAAAACTGCTAAATCATCAACAAAAATGCTTTAATTAAAATTTTAAAACAAATATTTTATATGATTCGTTTGAAAAGTGTACGTTTTAAGTGGTACAGCAGCGCCCTCTTCCGGCTGCTCTGTGTATCCGACGCTAAGACGAAAACCGCTGTTTACTGTCGTAAAAATGCGCTTTGATGAGTCGAAAGTGCTGTCGGAGAGCTGAAGATGCGGTTCAACGAGAAGGAGCTGGTGTTCCTGAGCCGCCAGCCGTCAGAGAGAGCGGCCGAGCTGGGCATGAGAGGCCCGAAGAAAGGAGACGGTAAGAGCTTCTATTAAAGCACCGAGAAAACCAGACCCCGCCGATTAAAATCAACAACAGATCAACATTTTTTTGATCAATGCTGTGATCGCATGTAGCGTACTCGCACTATTCTCTGATATCACAGCGGTTGTTAAAGGTGGGGTAAGCGATTTCTGGTAGCCGATGTTGACGTTTGAAATCACCCAAATAAACACGCCCCTTCCCCAAAAGGGTCACGCCCCTATTTTGATAGCTCCGCCCACACAAAGCAAAACCAATGTTACACCGTGTCTACCAGGGGCGGAGCCATCATTTCAGAGGTGAGGGGGACAGAAAAGTTATATATATATATAAAAAACATTACAATATAACATTTCTGTAATCTATATAAGCTACCAGTCAACAGTTTGTGAACGGTAAGATTTTTAATGTTTTATAAAGAAGTCTCTTCTGCTCACCGAGCCTGCATTTATTTGATCCAAAGTACAGCAAAAGCAGTAATATTGTATATATTTTTAAATGATTTCTGTGATCAAAGCTGAATTATCAGCATCATTACTCCAGTCTTCAGTGTCACCATTCTAATATGCTGATTTGCACTGAAACTTTTGGCTGGTAGTGTAGGCTACAGTCAACTTTAATTTTTCTCGCATTTCTAGCTTTTAATTGGCTTAGAAATCAGATAAATGCTGGACAATAACCAATAATAATGATTTGCTTATACGCGCGAATATGAACGTGGTTTTGCGCAGCTCGGCACGACAAATCCCCGACAGAAAACTGCTGCTGCGTTCTACTCGTGACGTATTGACACAAATGTCAAATGATTTTCAACGGTTGCTTTGTCGCGTCCAGCGTGCTAGACAGACTTTAGCTGTTGCGGCGTTTAGCTGTTTACTCACCGATCGAGAAGAAACAAAGCAGCCTCGGCGTCCGATCGCAGGCCTCCGCTCCTTGAGTTCTCTCCAGCGCTGGAAAGCTGATTTGATATTTACACGGGTCCTACTTCTTGCCTTAAGCCTTCGTTTGTTCCGCAGATGTTTTCCTCTTTTGTTTTTTATCCGCCGTCTCTATCTTTCTGTCGCTCGGCTCGCTAATGTCCGTCCTGTGCACTGAACTCTCTCTCCTCCACATCACGAGTGGACACGCCCCTTACTGCTGATTGGCTTCAAGTTCGTTTTGCTATTCGGCCCGAATCAGTCTTCTAAAGCGTTTTTGAAAAATCGCTTACCCCACCTTTAATGTAGTACGCTATTACGAGTACAGCTGTTAGTCGCTAGTGTTCGTACTCTACTGCAGTATCCAATCACGTTAGGAGGCGGGACACGTCACCTCCACTACGCGCTCTGTGATTGGTAGATTGATTTCTGTTAAACTAGAGTTGATCGCATCCACTCAGTTCGCCGTTATTAACAATTAATTTTTTTAATAAAAAAGCGGAAAAGCGGTGACATAACTAGTATACCGCCATTTGAATCAACCAAGCTATGAGAAATTGAGCGTTTCTGTAATAATCCACTAATCCACGAAAAACGAAAGCGCTCACTTCGGAATCTTAAAAGCCAGTTTGACGTGACATTATAAAAAAAAAATAATATATGTATTTTTTCTCTAACCACTTTAAAAGTTACGACTTTTAATCTCACGATTATGACTTTATTTTCCTTTTCTGAGAGTTGCGAAATGTAAACTCAGAATTGCAATATATTACCTATATGCAATACGGAGGGGAAAAGTACAAATTGTGAGATAAAAAGTTGCAATTTAATTTTTTATTCTGTTGACGAAAAAAAAAATAGAATTGCGAAATGTAAACTCGTAATTATGAGGGAAAAAAGGTCAGAATTGTGAGATACAAACTTACTCTTTTCTCGCAATTCTAAGTTATCATCTCACATTTCTGACTTTTTATGCATTTATTTTTATTTTTTATATAAGAATTGTGAGGGGGGAAAGTCAGAATTGTAATATACTTTTTTTTTTTATTATTTGGGCATAATTTTCAACTAAAACAAAACTAAAAAAATAATAATAATATATTTTACAATACAAACTAATAAAATACATAAACCAGGAGAGAATAAAAATGCATTATATATACTAAATGTAAACTGAAGCAACTAAAAGGCACTTAAAAATAAAATACGTTTTTAGGTGAGATTTAAAAGTGACTGTGCCTCACTAGACTGGACCGATCTGGTTTTGCCGTGTGGAGACGATAGCGTTTTATTAACCAAAATAAACCAAAATGATTAACTTTCAATAGAGTTTGACTTTTATCTCTGCTCTGTTTCCCACAACAGTTGTGAAGAGGCGTCTAGTGAAGCTGATCGTTAATTTCCTGTTTTACTTTCGGACCGATGAGGACGAGGTGAGTGTGAAGCAGCGTCTGATCTGGATCTCAACAGCATCGTTATCGTTATCGCTTGAGTTTAATTGGTTTGTGTTTCAGCCCATCGGCGCTCTGCTGCTGGAGCAGTGTCGCGTGGAGAGAGAAGACGATCATGTTTTCTCCATCGGTGAGAACAGCTCAACCGTGTAGAAATTATCCAAAGCATTTCATGTTTTAAGCAGGGTTATAGGCTTTTATCCAAAGCGACTTACAAATGAGGACAATAGAAGCAGTCAAAATCAACAAAAGAGCAGTGACACACAAGTGCTGTAACAAGTCTCCGTTAGCTTAACACAGCACATGTAGCAAGGGCTTTTTTAATTATATAATGAATAAAAAGAATAGAATAGAATACAAAAAGAATAGAGATGCTAGTGTTAGTTTAAAAAAAGAAAAAAGAAAACAAGCAGTTAGTAGGCTAAATGAATAGAGTGCAAGATTAAAAGGGGCAAGTTTATTATTTTTTTAAAGAATAGAATTAGAATAGAGTGTGCTAGAGTTAGAGGGTCAAAGATGGAAGAGATGTGTTTTTAGCTGATTCTTGAAGATGGTTATTCCACCAGGAGGGAACATTTAATTAAATGATAAATGTTAACTGAAATAAAATAAAATATTAAAAAATGAAATTTACTTTATTTCATCTAGTTGCCACGGAAACATTTCTCATTTTCATTTAGTTGATGTAACTCAATGCACTAAAATAACTAAAATGGAATAAAAATTACAGACTTTTTTTAAATTAAAAACTAACAAAACTGACAAAACACAATTAAATTGCACAAAAAAGGAATTACTTTAAAAAAAACACACCGGCTCTTGAAAACCTCTATGTGAACACACTTGCCCGAAAAAGTGCGGGGGACGAATTTACGTGATATTAAAAGTGGGGGGGACACGTCCCCCGCGTCCCCCGCGTCCCCCGCGTAATCTACGCCCCTGGTGGAGCGCTTTCAGAGTATGCATTTATTTGTCATTTTAACTGTTTGGAAACTGAGCGTAAATGTGGAAGTCCTTCAAAGATTTCTTATCCTGTTGCGCCCTCTATAGGACCAGCTTGAAGCTTGAAGCGTCATGGCAGAGCATTGAAGTCGATCAGTCGGTGCAACCCCTATCGGACGCGAGCGACAAAATACTATAGAACTCATTATAATCAGTGATGCTGTCTACACCATAGATATACTGTATATTAGGGCTGCACGATAAATCGCATGCGATATTTAATGCGCATCTTGTCAGTAAAGCCGGTTCTGTAATCAGCGGTAAATCTCCATCACGTGCGTGCTTTCACATGGAGCAGCATTAACTACACAGAGCCGTTGTTCACTGACGAGCTGCGCAAAATATCGCGCGAATATGAACGTGGTTTTGCGCAGCTCGGCACGACAAATCCCCGACAGAAAACTGCTGCTGCGTTCTACTCGTGACGTATTGACACAAATGTCAAATGATTTTCAACGGTTGCTTTGTCGCGTCCAGCGTGCTAGACAGACTTTAGCTGTTGCGGCGTTTAGCTGTTTACTCACCGATCGAGAAGAAACAAAGCAGCCTCGGCGTCCGATCGCAGGCCTCCGCTCCTTGAGTTCTCTCCAGCGCTGGAAAGCTGATTTGATATTTACACGGGTCCTACTTCTTGCCTTAAGCCTTCGTTTGTTCCGCAGATGTTTTCCTCTTTTGTTTTTTATCCGCCGTCTCTATCTTTCTGTCGCTCGGCTCGCTAATGTCCGTCCTGTGCACTGAACTCTCTCTCCTCCACATCACGAGTGGACACGCCCCTTACTGCTGATTGGCTTCAAGTTCGTTTTGCTATTCGGCCCGAATCAGTCTTCTAAAGCGTTTTTGAAAAATCGCTTACCCCACCTTTAATGTAGTACGCTATTACGAGTACAGCTGTTAGTCGCTAGTGTTCGTACTCTACTGCAGTATCCAATCACGTTAGGAGGCGGGACACGTCACCTCCACTACGCGCTCTGTGATTGGTAGATTGATTTCTGTTAAACTAGAGTTGATCGCATCCACTCAGTTCGCCGTTATTAACAATTAATTTTTTTAATAAAAAAGCGGTCATGGTGCGACATAACTAGTATACCGCCATTTGAATCAACCAAGCTATGAGAAATTGAGCGTTTCTGTAATAATCCACGAAGCTGTGGAAAACGAAAGCGCTCACTTCGGAATCTTAAAAGCCAGTTTGACGTGACATTATAAAAAAAAAATAATATATGTATTTTTTCTCTAACCACTTTAAAAGTTACGACTTTTAATCTCACGATTATGACTTTATTTTCCTTTTCTGAGAGTTGCGAAATGTAAACTCAGAATTGCAATATATTACCTATATGCAATACGGAGGGGAAAAGTACAAATTGTGAGATAAAAAGTTGCAATTTAATTTTTTATTCTGTTGACGAAAAAAAAAATAGAATTGCGAAATGTAAACTCGTAATTATGAGGGAAAAAAGGTCAGAATTGTGAGATACAAACTTACTCTTTTCTCGCAATTCTAAGTTATCATCTCACATTTCTGACTTTTTATGCATTTATTTTTATTTTTTATATAAGAATTGTGAGGGGGGAAAGTCAGAATTGTAATATACTTTTTTTTTTTATTATTTGGGCATAATTTTCAACTAAAACAAAACTAAAAAAATAATAATAATATATTTTACAATACAAACTAATAAAATACATAAACCAGGAGAGAATAAAAATGCATTATATATACTAAATGTAAACTGAAGCAACTAAAAGGCACTTAAAAATAAAATACGTTTTTAGGTGAGATTTAAAAGTGACTGTGCCTCACTAGACTGGACCGATCTGGTTTTGCCGTGTGGAGACGATAGCGTTTTATTAACCAAAATGATTAACTTTCAATAGAGTTTGACTTTTATCTCTGCTCTGTTTCCCACAACAGTTGTGAAGAGGCGTCTAGTGAAGCTGATCGTTAATTTCCTGTTTTACTTTCGGACCGATGAGGACGAGGTGAGTGTGAAGCAGCGTCTGATCTGGATCTCAACAGCATCGTTATCGTTATCGCTTGAGTTTAATTGGTTTGTGTTTCAGCCCATCGGCGCTCTGCTGCTGGAGCAGTGTCGCGTGGAGAGAGAAGACGATCATGTTTTCTCCATCGGTGAGAACAGCTCAACCGTGTAGAAATTATCCAAAGCATTTCATGTTTTAAGCAGGGTTATAGGCTTTTATCCAAAGCGACTTACAAATGAGGACAATAGAAGCAGTCAAAATCAACAAAAGAGCAGTGATACACAAGTGCTATAACAAGTCTCCGTTAGCTTAACACAGCACATGTAGCAAGGGCTTTTTTAATTATATAATGAATAAAAAGAATAGAATAGAATACAAAAAGAATAGAGATGCTAGTGTTAGTTTAAAAAAAGAAAAAAGAAAACAAGCAGTTAGTAGGCTAAATGAATAGAGTGCAAGATTAAAAGGGGCAAGTTTATTATTTTTTTAAAGAATAGAATTAGAATAGAGTGTGCTAGAGTTAGAGGGTCAAAGATGGAAGAGATGTGTTTTTAGCTGATTCTTGAAGATGGTTATTCCACCAGGAGGGAACATTTAATTAAATGATAAATGTTAACTGAAATAAAATAAAATATTAAAAAATGAAATTTACTTTATTTCATCTAGTTGCCACGGAAACATTTCTCATTTTCATTCACACAAGTGCTGTAACAAGTCTCCGTTAGCTTAACACAGCACATGTAGCAAGGGCTTTTTTAATTATATAATGAATAAAAAGAATAGAATAGAATAGAATACAAAAAGAATAGAGATGCTAGTGTTAGTTTAAAAAAAGAAAAAAGAAAACAAGCAGTTAGTAGGCTAAATGAATAGAGTGCAAGATTAAAAGGGGCAAGTTTATTATTTTTTTAAAGAATAGAATTAGAATAGAGTGTGCTAGAGTTAGAGGGTCAAAGATGGAAGAGATGTGTTTTTAGCTGATTCTTGAAGATGGTTATTCCACCAGGAGGGAACATTTAATTAAATGATAAATGTTAACTGAAATAAAATAAAATATTAAAAAATGAAATTTACTTTATTTCATCTAGTTGCCACGGAAACATTTCTCATTTTCATTTAGTTGATGTAACTCAATGCACTAAAATAACTAAAATGGAATAAAAATTACAGACTTTTTTTAAATTAAAAACTAACAAAACTGACAAAACACAATTAAATTGCACAAAAAAGGAATTACTTTAAAAAAAATACTTTGGTTTTAAGAAGAGTTATTGCTAACTAAAACTAAAATTATATTTAAAAATAAAAAAACATTATTTGAAATAAAATAAATATGAACTGAAATAAAATAAAAACTGAATTTATTTTATTTTCAGCTAGTTGCCAAGGAAAGATTTCTAATTTTTGTTTAGTTTAACTTGATGTACTAAAATAACTAGAATGAAACTAAATTAATAAAAACTATATAGACATATTTAAAAATAAATAGACAAATAATAAAACAACAAAATTGCAAAAAAATTTATTTAAAAAAAAAAACTTTAAAATGGAAAATATAAACAAATTCAAACTATTAATAAAAACTATAAGTACTTCAATTATAGTAAAATTTGACTCTCAGCTCTTTAAGAGAGAAATGTGACATCAATCAGTGTTTCTTATGACATATTTAATAATAATAATAATAAAACCAACAAAAACACACAACAAAATTACTAAAATGACAATTACTTCAAATATATATATAATGGAAAATACAAAATATAAATAACTAGTTCAAATATTAATAAAAAAACTATTAATAGTATATCAGTTATACTAAAATAACCCTATAAACCTAATAAACGTGACTCTTGCTTGTTTTCCAGCGTTTCTGGACGAAGCCGAGAGGAAGTATCTGTTCGAATGCGGTTCTCAGGAACAGTGTGTCGAGTGGATCGATGCCGTCGTTAAAGCCAGGTGTGTGTCGCGGACGCTTCCCATCATGCCGTGCGTCTCCTGCTTTATAACTCTGATCTGCTTCCGTCTCACAGTTATGAATTCATGCGCAAGAACCTGATCTACTATCGCACGGAGATCCATCGACTCACCGGCAAGGTGAGGGAATAATATTAATGAATGATCAATATCAGGGCCAGTATTCACAAAACATCTTAGTAGCTCACAACTCTCCGATTTAGGAGAAAGTCTTCAAAATAATAGGCGAGTCAGTCCTAAATTTAGAGTATTTCCCAAAGCGTTTCAGCACTAAAACTAGTTCCTAAATCTGTGAAAGGTTAGTGAAGAGTAACTAAGACTATCCGAAAATAGCTGTTTCCGGCAATCTGCCTCGGAACGTTAACATTTTAGAAACATGGGACGATAATGAGCTTTTAAAAAGATATCGCCTTCAGTTTTGGAGGTTATCCCAACTCTAAATCTTCCTTGTTTTCATGAACCAGGTGGACAAGAAGTAACAGCTGTTCTTGCGTCCAGTTTGGTTTTCTTTTTTAGTTTGCATGTGATAATTCTACTCTAGGCTGTTTATATGCATATCCGCTAATTGTTTATGAGAAGCATACATGTAAGAGGCTGACAATTACAAATACTTGCTTAATTACTGACACTTAGCATGCATTTTAAAACCTTTATTTGAATGTGGCAACATAGTATCACACTCTAGAATATTTCTATTGAAGGAGACTATCAGCCAATCACTGTGTGCATAGTTAATAAGCATGCATAGCAACGAGGTAAACCCCGCCCCCTTACTCTGAGCTTAAGACTTCTCTCTGTTCCTTAGGAAATGTTTGTCTCAGCAGCTCTGTGAATAGGTTTTAAGAGAAAGCTTAGCTAAAACTGCTATTTAGGAGAAGATGAAATGTTTTGTGAATACGGGCCCAGGTTAATAATGTGATCTGGTGCAGGACCCGCTGGAGCAGTATGGGATATCAGACGAAACGCGCTTTCGGGTCAACAGCGGTCTTCCTCCGCCGCCCACATAAACACACACGTTCTCTGCTGTTTGGAGTTTTTACTTTTTCTTCTTTTTCAGTCTGCCAGTATGCATTACTGTACATTCTGTAACCTGAGTTATGGGGGAAGATACGTAATATTACTGTAATAAATGTCTGCTGACTTTGAGCCAATTGCAATTAAAGTTTCTTCCCCATATCACAAACAAACTAAACTGGGTCGGCTTTTAAAAACTGATTTCGGCACCTTTATTGCCTTTCATAATTGTGATGTTAAATGTTTATGCGCAGACATGCATTATAAAGTGCACTGGAGAGGTTTCGTAGCATCCAGCTTTTATCTAAAGCATTAAAGCTCAGTCCAGATTCAGTCAAAACATTTCAGCTGCTTTGAGTTTGTGCTCCTGGAGCTGTAGAGTGGTCTTATTTCACCACAAAATCAAAGGAAAATAGGTACAATTATAATTTAAACAACGTTATTTTCATGAGAAGTACATTTCTTGCTGCTAGAAAATGCAATAAACAATTTAAGTAATTTAATAAATTTTATATAATTTTATAAAATTACTTCAATTGTAATTATCATCATAAATTACAAATGCACTACACAATTTAAGTAATTTAATAAATTGTATATATATATATATATAAATAATTGTAATTATAGAATTTTTCAATTTAAAATCAGCATGAATTACAAATGCACTGCACAATTAATTTAATAAATAATATAATACTATATTGTGCTCAATTTTTGTAATAAAAATAATGTCTATGCTAAAGCCTCAAATGTATTTACTCTACACAGGCTGTAATTTGGCTTTTTTCTTTTTATTTTGTGGTGACCTTTGACCTGTATATTTCAGATATGATAAAACATTGTGGCATTTGCAAATCTGCAGTTTGTGGAAGTAGCAGATTTTTGTTCGATCGCTTGTATCCGTCACAGTCTTGAGCTCGTAAACGCCTTGAACTTCTTTCCTGTACTTTTGAATGCGGCTTTATTTTAACCCATATCTTCTGCAACTTTCCATTTCTGTAAGCGACGAAACTATAATAAGAGAGAAAATGCTTTCGTTTGTCCGAATGTGAGATTCATGAATGTTTGTCTTTGTCATGCACTAGAAGTGATTCCTTCATCATTTATATATGTTCATTTCCAATCTTATTTTGGTTAATAAATCCCGTGTAATGGTACCAGCGTGCTTTTGTTTTTATGCTGATACAAGAGCAATAAAAGTGCCAATTCTGGCCGTATAATGCAAGGAAATGTCTATAAATGCATCACAATAATACGAGTGTTTGCACACACACTGTCGCTCACAGATAGCATTTTTCCAGTTAATGGCCACAATAAATGAGTCATTTACTAAATGCATGTGTGAGATAATGTCTCAGTAAATATGATCATATTTGAGCATGATCCAGTGCCGATGCTGGATCACAGACATACATGATTCTGACTCACTTTCTCATTTTCAAGGATGAATAAATGAAGAAAAGGCCTGAGGCTCATTAGATGTGATGAAAGAAATGTTATTTTAGGATATTTAAACTGAACACAAGCTCTGTACTGCTGTGATTAGCTGTTAGCTTTACATGAGCATGTTTTTTTAATCAAACCGGACGGATGTTTTAAAGTGAAACAAACCACAAAACTCATCAGATCCATTGATATACTCACTGATGTTTGTGCTGCTGGTTTCCCTCCAATAAATGATGTCACTTCCTGCAGGATGATGTCAATGAGGAAGTGCCTTTTGTTAGTTAAAGGTTTTTTTTTTTTTTTACAAATGACTAATAAAATGGAAATCATATTAAAGGAATAGTTCAGCCAAAAATGAAAATGTGTCTCAGTAATGGATGCTCTGCAGTGAATGGGTGCCGTCAGAATGAGAGTCCAAACAGCTGATAAAAACATCACAATAATCCACAGCACTCCAGTCCATCAGTTAACATCTGGAGAAGACAAAAGCTGAAACACATCCAGCATTAAGACGTTTTTAACTAAAAAACAAGTTCATAATGCATAATAACGCTTCCTCCAGTGAAGAAGTGCATCTGCTGTTGTCTCTCACATCACAATTCAGCCACATATGTGTTTAGAGCTGTTTAAACGCTGCTTGATCTGTGCAGATTTCTCTCCTGATTCACACCAGAACACTGACTCACTGGAGGAAGCGTTATTATGGATTATGGACTAAAAACGTCTTAATGCTGGATGTGTTTCAGCTTTGGTCTTCTCCAGATGTTAACTGATGGACTGGAGTGCTGTGGATTATTGTGATGTTGTTATCAGCTGTTTGGACTCTCATTCTGACGGCACCCATTCACTGCAGAGCATCCATTGCTGAGACACTGATGCAGTGCTGCATTTCTCCAAATCTGATGAAGAAACAAACTCATCCTGATCTTGCATGAGTAAATTCTCATCAAATGCTCATCTTTCAGTGGACTGTGGCTTTAGGAGCTCCAGCTGCAGTGGGATTCGGGACTCAGATCCTCATTAGGTCTGTAATGCGCTGACGCAGCGAGTGACTGTAACTCAAACCCTGCTGAATTATTGACACATGGACCCTCATTAGTCAGTCAAGGTCCTCTGTGTTTCACTGCAGCAGCCTGTGAGAAACAAAACCGGCTCATTTCCTCTCAGTCTCTCTCACATCTGCTCCATCAAGCCTGATACAACCCAACGATCACATTATATTCTGTCATGAGCTGACGACAAAACTGCAACCGAAATGGAAAACCTGGAATTTAAACCTGCAAACAAACAAATAGGATTTTCAAAAGATTCAAAAATCTAATTCAAATCCAAAACAAGGGATCATCAAGATGTTTATTTTCTGTTCTTCTTCTGAACTGAATGCAAGGAAATTTGAGTCACTGATCATGTGACTCTTTGCACAGTCAGATATCCTTCATTAAAAGCAAAAACGCAGACACACCAAATATGCATTCATTCTCAAATTCATGTTTATTTTTAAACTTAAAAGCTGACGTTTTTACGGTAAAGTCATTCATAATGAATGTTTTTGAAAATTAGAAAAACATGCAAAAAAAGCAGCATTTCCCCACTAGTGATCTCATAAACAAAATTTGTGTAAAAGTCACTGAAATTCATCAGTCATGGTGAAATTCAAGCAAAAAATAAATACAAATCCAAGAAATGTCACAGTCCTGTGAAGCTGATAAATCAATAAATGTCAGTAATGCTTCCGAATGTACAAGCAAAGCTGTAAAGATGAGATGTTTCTCTGTTATGACTATATTTATTCATCTGGATGAGGTTTTTAGTGTGTCTATGCAAATTAGACAACAATGAACACAGTCACTTTCTTGATTAATATTCCTGGTATTTGTTCTAATTAAAATGCAAATGCAACAGATAGAGGAGTAAATGAATGCAGCTTCATGCAGAGCTCAGTATCTGTGAAACTGTGTTTCATCATATCTGGGACTGAAAGGGGAACCGGAGCGCTCTATAACAGAAATACACCGCAAACACATCCTGAACTGAGGTTCCTAGACTTCAGCCAGAAATGAGATAAAATCATGAGTTCACTTTGATGCCAACGAGTGCATGAAACGGCATGATAAATACACTTAAGTGCTGGTCTTCCTCTGTGTTTTTGTTTTGTTTTCCAGTGCAAATCTCTAAAAACTCTTAAATCAAGACACATATACTGGAGAAGCAAAATGAATGAGACATTTATCAAATACATCAAATCTTGTTCTCTGAGAAACTGATCGAGATGAAGTGAGTTTGTGAGATAAATCAGATATCTGTTCTTGTTTTAATCATAAAAGTTAATTTTGTAGAATTTGGTTAATTCTGATGTGATGTTAAGATGTTTCTCATTGGATGGTGATTAACATTTATTTTATTAATTATTATATTTGCTATTATTAATATTACATTCACACACTCCTATACATATATATATATATATATAGTTTTTTTTTACTTAGTATTTTTGTCTTATTTTCCAGTAGAATAATCAAAAAATTCTTAAATTAAGATACATTTACTTAAGAAGCAAAATTACAAGATATTAAGTCTTTTTTTTTTTTTGTAAAATGCACCCAAATTAAGTGAGTTTATGTTTAAAACAAAAACAAATATTTTTCAGTGGAGTCAGAAAAATAATCAGGTTTTTGCTTTGAATTACGCACATTTTTCTATCCACACTTTCTTGTTTTATGCATAAACTTGCTTAATTTTGACCTTTTTTCAGAATACAAGACCTTACATCTTATGTCATTTTGTTTCACAAGTAGATGTATCTTGATTTAAGGATGTTCAGATATTTGAACTGGAAAACAAGACAAATATTATTTTTCAGTGCATGCGATATTTAATGCCACCACATTATGAATTGAAGACTTTATGATTAAACACCTTTTTAAAGTTTATTTTTATGTCCACACTTGTTTTAAGCATAACCTTAACTAATTTTGATCATTTTTTGACAAGATTTAATATCTTGTCATTGTGCTTGTCTTGTAAATGCATCTTGATTTAAAGGGGTCATATAATGCAATTTCAAGTTTTCCTTTGTCTTTGGAGTTTTACAAGCTGTTCGTGTAAGATCTGTAGTGTAAAGTTGCAAAGACTAAAGTCTCTACACCTTTCTAAAACGCCTTGTTTAAACACGCCCTCACATATATATATATATATATATATATATATATATATATATATACAGTGGGTACGGAAAGTATTCAGACCCCATTAAATTTTCCACTCTTTGTTATATTGCAGCCATTTGCTAAAATCATTGAAGTTAATTTTTTTTCCTCATTAATGTACACACAGCACCCCATATTGACAGAAAAACACAGAATTGTTGACATTTTTGCAGATTTATTAAAAAAGAAAAACTGAAATATCACATGGTCCTAAGTATTCAGACCCTTTGCTGTGACACTCATATATTTAACTCAGGTCCTGTCCATTTCTTCTGATCATCCTTGAGAGGGTTCTACGCCTGCATTTGAGTCCAGCTGTGTTTGATTATACTGATTGAACTTGATTAGGAAAGCCACACACCTGTCTACATAAGACCTTACAGCTCACAGTGCAAGTCTGAGCAAATGAGAATCATGAGGTCAAAAGGAACTGCCTGAAGAGCTCAGAGACAGAATTGTGGCAAAGCACAGATCTGGCCAAGGTTACAAAAAAAATTCTGCTGCACTTAAGGTTCCCAAGAGCACAGTGGCCTCCATAATCCTTAAATGGAAGACGTTTGGGACGACCAGAACCCTTCCTAGAGCTGGCCGTCCGGCCAAACTGAGCTATCGGGGGAGAAGAGCCTTGGTGAGAGAGGTAAAGAAGAACCCAAAGATCACTGTGGCTGAGCTCCAGAGATGCAGTCAGGAGATGGGAGAAAGTTGTAGAAAGTCAACCATCACTGCAGCCCTCCACCAGTCGGGGCTTTATGGCAGAGTGGCCCGACGGAAGCCTCTCCTCAGTGCAAGACACATGAAAAAACACCTGAAGGACTCCAAGATGGTGAGAAATAAGATTCTCTGGTCGGATGAGGCCAAGATAGAACTTTTTGGCCTTAATTCTAAGCGGTATGTGTGAAGAAAACCAGGCACTGCTCATCACCTGTCCAATACAGTCCCAACAGTGAAGCATGGTGGTGGCAGCATCATGCTGTGGGGGTGTTTTTCAGCTGCAGGGGCTGCAATATAACAAAGAGTGAAAAATTTAAGGGGGTCTGAATACTTTCCGTACCCACTGTATACGCACACACACATTTATTTTTGGATTTTATTGCATTGTACATCATATTTATCTAAATTATTACATATATATATATATATATATATATATTTCATTTTTATTAAATCAATCCATTTATGAGAACTGTATTTATACATTTGCCAAATGCAACAACAATTCTCACTATTCAAGAATGAATTAATTTTGTACAACAAACAAAAACGATGAGTTTCTCAGTGCATTCATGTACAAAACCTGGGAAAAAATTCCACGTCTGGGAATGCACAGATGACTATTCATCCAGAATGACAGTATACTCGCCAAACAAGAACAAGTACTCAAGTGCAAATACAAAAATCAAGCAAGGCTGTTGCATAAGAAAGCAACTGGATTTGACTTCGATCAGACTTCAGACAGTAGTAAACATCTAGCTGCTCTTTATGTGATTGTGTGTTGCAGCTTCTCCTGGCCGTTAATGTCGATGTATTTGGCAGACTGACAGGCTTTGACGTGCTCGATCTTTCCGTTCATGAGGACGGGATCATGGATGTGGTTTTCCTCTGAATGCATGAAGCTCCTCGTCATCTTGTGCTCCAGCTGCATGTGATTCTGCGGCGGCAGGCCGAGGCACGCTCTGCAGACTCACAAACAAACACATTAAACAATAATGCACTCTCAAACAGTGCTGCTAAAGGAAGGCCCATTTGTTGCAAAAAGTTGCTAAATGAACTTGACGTCATTACATAATCACGACACAAAATTGTGTCTGCATCAAAAATTTTCATTTATATTTTTTCATAAAATTATATAAATGCATAATATAATATTAAAATACAAATAATTGTATTTTTAAATACAACATTGAATTACTGAACACTTACACATTTTTCAACAATTTAAAGTTTTTTTATTAGCTAGTAAAACTACACATTCTGAACAATTATAGTTTTAAGCAGCGTATTAGTAGTTAGTTAGTATGCTACGCTCTAAGCAGAGTCTGTAAAAATAGGGCACAATCTACTATGTTAATATGAAGGAATTTTCCATATTGATTTTTCACAGGTTTTTTACCTGCATTTTAAATTATGCACTGTATTTTGTGTTTTTGGGTTACACAACAGATAATGGATGTGTCCTGGAAAATGACTAGTACCTTTTCCATTTTTCTAGATATTTTTCTTACAGTGTACTCACTTATTATTATTATTATTATTATTAAATTGAAGAATTGCAAATTAACTTAATTCACGTGATGTGTGTACTGCTAGGCATCTTCGGTTTCCTCTTTTTGCATAATTTAGATGGAAAATGTGTGCCTTTTTATTGTTTGGGTCACTTATCAAACGTTGCTAAAAGTTGCCAAATAAATTTTAAAAATAGCTACATTTGTTGCTAGGTGCTTTTGGAAGAAAACGTTGCTAGGTTAGTCTGAAAAGTTGCTAATTGTAGCAACAAAAGTCATTGTATTTTGTGTTTTTGGGTTACACAACAGATAATGGATGTGTCCTGGAAAATGACTAGTACCTTTTCCATTTTTCTAGATATTTTTCTTACAGTGTACTCACTTATTATTATTATTATTATTATTAAATTGAAGAATTGCAAATTAACTTAATTCACGTGATGTGTGTACTGCTAGGCATCTTCGGTTTCCTCTTTTTGCATAATTTAGATGGAAAATGTGTGCCTTTTTATTGTTTGGGTCACTTATCAAACGTTGCTAAAAGTTGCCAAATAAATTTTAAAAATAGCTACATTTGTTGCTAGGTGCTTTTGGAAGAAAACGTTGCTAGGTTAGTCTGAAAAGTTGCTAATTGTAGCAACAAAAGTGTCCCAATCTTTGGACTAGCTTACCACAACACATTAGATCCACACCCACTTTGTCCATTTTTAAGCATAAACTTAAATACTACTTATTCTCCCTTGCTTTTAAATAATGTGTATATATGTGGCAGGGGTTTTTTCTCTCTCTTAATTGTGTTTTATGGTTATATTGTTTTTATGTTGTTGTTGTTGGTATTTAGTTTTATCTTTGAATTGTAATTTAAGCACCTTGGACAATGAACATTGCAATTATATGGTGCTATATAAATAAAAATTACTAATGACTAATGGCGTCTGACCTCATGACGTTCTCGATGCACGCACGCTGGCGGAAGAAGGCGTTGACCACCGGAGCCCCCTGCGGCACGAGAGGAGCTTTGCAGAGGAAGCTCAGCAGCGAGAGGACGCTGTGAAAGCCCTGGAACACCGGATCGTCCTGCGTGCAGAACGTGATTCTCTGACACAGCTCTGTCAGCATCACCAGATCCAGAATGATGGGACTGGCCAGCAGAGAGTCCTGGACACACGCAGAGGATAGAGGCATCAGAAAGGCATAGAAAAAAAATGGGACCATACTGACGAGTATACTTGTTAAATATCATTTGTTGTGATGAAATGAAATCCTTGCATAAATGTAGTTTAAAAAAGTTATAATAAATGATCAGTTCATTTGACATGCCTTTTGATTAACATTTAATGCAACCATTAAAACAAAATCCAGAAAAGTTAAAACAGAAGAAATAAATGGAATTTAAAAATGGAATCCAGAAAATGTCAATTTAAACTGGGAAAAAAATGAATGCAGAAAAAGTAAAAAGGAACTTGAAAAAAAAATAAAACTCATTTGATCAAATTTAATTTTTAAAAACTTTTAATACATTGTTGTTAAATGTATAGGTTTCGTGATTTCAATTAATTGTAGACATGCTTTTTGTTGGGTGGAATGCATAAAAATGTAATAATAAAAAAAAGGGAATATAGAAAAATTACAACGGGGAAAAAAGATTGTGGGTAAAAAAAAAATACAACATTTCATAGGGACCCAAAAATGTAATTTTTGTTAAACCTTTAGTAAATGACTGTTAAATTGTGTAAACTTCATGATTTGAATGAATCAGACGAGCTTTTTGACTACTAACATATCATTTAACCATTAAAACAGAATCTAGAAAAATTGAAATTGAAACATTTTTTTTAAACAGAAACAATATAATCATAAAAATGAAAACAGGAAAGAAAAATGAGTTTAGGGAAAGTTAAATTAAATGGATTGCACAGGGCCCTAAAAAATTCATTTTTGTTAAACTTTTAATAAATTATTGCTAAATTGTATGAGCTTCAGGATTTCATTTAACTACATATGCTTTTTGATTAACATTTAATTTAACCATTAAAACAAAATCCAGAAAAGTTAAAACAGAAGAAAAAATGGAATCCAGAAAATTTAAATTTAAACTGGGAAAAAATGAAAGCAGAAAAAGGAAACAATTAACTTGAGAAATTTTTTTATGAATTTTATAAAGCCCTAAAAATTATATATATATATAAAAAAAAAAAAGTTTAATAAATTGTTGTTAAATGTATATGTTTCATGATTTCAATTAATTATAGACATGCTTTTTGATTACTTACATTAAGACAGAATCCAGAAAAATTGAATTTGGAATAAAAAAATTTTCATAGGGACCTAAAATGTAATTTTTGTTAAACCTGTGGTAAATGTTAAATTGTGTAAGCTTCATTATTACAATTAATCAGATGACCTTTTTAATTTAACCATTAAAACAGAATCTAGAAAAATTTAAATTGAAAAAAAAAAACACAATCCATAAAAATTAAAACAGGAAAGAAAAACGAGTTTAGGAAAAAGTTCAATAAAATGGATTACGCAGGGCCCTAAAATTTTTTATTTTTGTTAAACTTTTAATAAATTATTGTTAAATTGTATGAGCTTCAGGATTTCAATTAACTACACGTGCTTTTTGATTAACATTTAACATTTAATTGAACCATTAATCGAGAACGTAGAAAACAACAACAGAATGTCCTGCATGTGTTTGCTGATCTGCGATGAGCTCACCTCACAGGTGTTGTGCAGAGCCATGGTGTTTGTTCCTCCCATCATGATCTCAGACGTGTACTCATCCATCGCACGCTTGCTGTCGCCCACATAGGGCACATATTTAATAACCACCTGTTCTGACAAACCAGTCAGACCTTATTCATGCACTGCAGCAATCTCCTGTTTGCATTCACAGACTGCTACATTAGACCCCATCTGAGCTGATCTACAGCACAGTTCAAAAGAGCGTCTGTAGGATTTATAATGTTTATGAAAGAAGCCTCTTCTGCTCATGAAAGCTGCATTTGATCAAAAATGTTGTGAAATATTATTGCAATTTAAAATAACTGTTCTCTATGTGAATACAGTAGATCAAAGCTGAACTTTCAGCATCATTACTGTCCTTCAGAAATCATTCTAATGATTCGAGAAACATTTCTGATTATTATCAATGTTGAAAACAGTCGTGCTGCCCAATATTTTTGTGGAAACCGTGATGCATTTTATCTTTCAGGATTCACAGATGAACAGAAAGAACAGCATTTATTTGAAATAGAAAGCTTTTGTCACATTGTAAATCACTTTTGATCAACTGAATGCATCCTTGATGAATCGATTGTTTTTAAATCACAGCTCTGAGCAGCAGTGTATCAGTAATATAGTGTCAGACTCACGCAGTGGTCCGGTTTCTCTCGGGGTCGGTACAGTACAGGGTTCGACTGCACAATGTCATCCACCACGTTACTCTTGGAGATTTCTTTAGAGCGAAACTGCTGCGGCGCCGACAGATTCAGACCGTCGTTGTTGCCGAGATGATTATAACTCACTATAGACGTTGGCTGAAAATGAGCATTTTATTTTTTTAATAATATGCAATTTTCCACATAATATAACATATATACTACAAATAACACAATAATAATATAGTATTTATATATTATAAAATATAGAATATGTTATATAATAAAATAACAGAAGACATATTTAATATTACAGTATATTGATGATTTTCCAGAATAGATACCTATGGCACTTTTCACAAATATTGTACAAAAATGGGATCTATTAAAAAAAAATGTAACAAATTATCAGTGAAGTGAGGTGCTTAAGCTTCAAAAATGAATGATTGTCAATCAAGGTCAACATAATTGTATATGCATCAACAACAAAAAAACATTACAATTTGTGTAGAATGAATAGTATAGAAAATGTAATGTGATATTTACTGTAACATATCTATCTAATAATTTACTCTAAAGAAAATGATGGTAAAATGTTACAATAAGGTTCCATTATTTAACATTAGCAACAATAAAAATAATTCTAAAGCATTTAATGACCCTAGTTCGTGTTAATGTCAACTTTTACTAATACATTATTAATCAAATGTTGAATCTGTTAATATTATTTAATGGACCTGAGCTAACATGAACTAACAATGAACAGTTATATTTTTATTAACTACTGTTAACAAAGATTAATACATTCTGTAACACATTACTACTGATGTTTAATTTAATCATAAAAACCCGAGTCCATTTTTTCTTTCCAAATTAAAATTACGTTTGAATTTTAATTTGAAAATTGGGGAGAAATAAAATGGATTTCATGGGATCCTGAAATTAACCATTAAGACAGAATCCAGAAAAATTCTAATCGAAAAAAAAAAATTTTGAATGTGGAAAAGTTAAAATGCAAAAAAAACTGAATTAGTAAAAAAAAAAAAAAAAAAGTTCTTTGTTTGCTAATTTTAGTCAATGCATTAACTACTGGTCTTTATTGTTAAATGTTACCTAAATTATATCTGTGTTTTTCCCCTTAACTCTCATCCACATTTTTGAAAATTCACGAGAAAGTGCACTACACAAACTTAAATTATTATGATTCATGAACACTTTTGAACCTAAGGTTGGTCTCTTTTTAAAGAAGACAATTAGCAGAGTATTACAGAAGTGAAATCATTTAATACATTTAAAGTATTAAACAATTATAGAAGTTTAAATTTACTGTAAAGAAAATGTATTGTACTATTTTTATTTTATCTTATATAAAATATATATTTTTAAAAACAGTTGAAAATACAAAATTGCTATAAAATTAAAACAATATGCCTACATTAGTTGTGTTACAAATTTGAAGTTGATATAAAAAAAAATTGAGGGTCATGTGCAATTTTTGTTTAGGCGTTATACCGAAAACAGCCAGCGGGTGCCATCCGAACTCCACTGGAATATTTTTTTTTATGCATTTCTGTCACAAATCTATCAATTTCTCTCTCAGTATTACGTCTATCACAAAATAGACGACTATGTCATATTACAAAATGTATTACGGTCTTTTGGAATCAAAACCTTTTAGAATCTTGACAAGGTGCATATCTTTGGAAAGGTCTGAGTCTCAAGATTCATATTTTGTGATAGAAGTCATACTGAGAGAGAAATTTATGCATTTGTGACAGAAAAATGCATCAAAAAAATGTAATGGGGTTTGGATGGCACCTGGTGGCTGTTTGTGGTTTAACGCCTAAAAACAATTGCATAGTAACCTTAATTTTTTAATATCAACTTCAAATTTGGAACACAACTTATTTAAACATGCAGATTTAATTTTATGCCAAATTTGGATTTAAACCTATTTTGTAAAATATTTATTTTATATAAAATATAAATAGTACAGTACATTTTCTTTACAGTAAATGTAAACTATAACTTTTTTTTAACTTTCATTTTTTTTTTAAATGATTTCCTTTCTGCAATAATCTGCCGATTGTCTTCTTTAAAAAGAGACCAACCTTAGGTCTGTGTTCAAAAGTGTTCATGAATTATAAAAATTTAAGTTTAAATAGTGCACTTTCAAGTCTTTGTTAAAAAAAAACTGTGGGTGACAGAATAAGTTGTGTTCCAAATTTGAAGTTGATATTAAAAAACTGAGTTTACAATGCAATTTTGTTTAGGCGTTATACCACAAACAGCCACCAGGTGCCATCCGAACCCCATAGAATTTTTTTGATGCATTTTTCTCTCACAAATGCATAAAGTTCTCTCTCAGTAAGACTCCTATCACAAAATAACCACCAAATACGGAATCTTGAGACTCAGACCTTTCCAAAGATATGCACCTTGTCAAGATTCTAAAAGGTTTTGATTCCAAAAGACCGTAATACATGTTGTAATATGACACCCCGCATTAAAACTAAATAACGGGACACTAATGCATCTCTACTAATACTGTTTCAGAAATGTAATGATCTCTCTCACCTTGATTCCAGCGCTGACCAGGAACTCCACCAGCACAGACTTGAGTTTGGTCTGTCCAGATTTGAAGTCGTCTCCACCGATGAAGACGCCGCGCTGGAGGGCCAGATCCACGGCTCCGGGGACAAAGGTGTTCTGCGGCGAGCCGTTAATGTAGGCGCAGCCCTCCAGAACACTGGCCACCGCAAACATGGTGGAGGGAGACACTTCACGCCCCGTCTGAGACACAAACACCACAGAAACCATCAATACCAGTGATTCTGATCCACTCATTACCATCCAAAATAAAGAAAGTAGCCTAAGCCTGCAATGATACGATGCAATGATTGAACATGACTGTGTAAGTCATTTCAACTTATTAAACTGACTTTAAAAAAATCATTTGTTGCCATGATTTTTTAAAATTATATTATTACATGTAACATGTCTGTGCCGTACCCCAATTAAGAATTAACGATCATTTCTACAGACATAGCAAAGAGACAGCAGAGCAAGAGCGAGAGCATCAACAAATCTCGCATTCTTATATCTGTAGAGCTTTTTTTGATCTTTAACGTTAGGTCTTTCCTATTCTTGAAGCAAAATGAATGCTTAAGGTCAATTCAGTATTAGCCTACTCTTAATGAAATACACACACAACATCAGCAAAGCTACGATGACAAAGTCATTTATATTAAACATAAAACTTTTATGAACAGAACGAATAAGACTGAATTGTAACACAAATAAATGAAAGGTTTCTTCCTTTAAATGAATGCTTATGGCTCATTATTATTAATGGAAAAAGCACAGGCTATGCACTAAAATAGTACAATGGCAAATTTGCATATATTAAACATCTAACTTTTTTAACAAAATGAATACGATGGATATAGCCTTGCGTTTATTAACCCAATTAAATAAGGTCTTTGCCCTTATTTAAAATGAATTCTTAGTTTGCGGTTCACTGTTGTTGTTTTTTTGAATGAAAACCCAGCAACAACAAAAGACACTCACTTATATTAAAGGAAGAAATGAGAGTTTGATTAAGAAGATTTGTGTTTTTAGCAGGCTCACCTGAATGCTGTTGAGCAGGTTCTCGGCCGTGTCGTTGACTCCGGGAATCTCGTCACAGAATCGCTCGGTGTTCGCCGTCCAGAGAACGAGGACTTTATCCACGCCGCTCTTCTCTCTGAAATCACAGATATCTCTGCGGATCTGAGCCACCTGAAACAGGACACAAGAATATTAAAAACATCCTGATTTATACATGTACTCAACAAACACACACACTCTATATATATATACTTATAGTGTACATATATATATATATATATATACAAACACACACATATATATATGTGACCCTGGAGCACAAAACCAGTCATGAGGGTCAATTTTTTTAAAATTGAGATGTATGCATCACCTGAAAGCTGAATAAATAAGCTCTCCATTGATGTATGGTTTGTTATGATCTGACAATATTTGAAAATCTGGAATCTGAGGATGCAAAAAAATCTAAATATTGAGAAAATCATCTTTAAAGTTGTTCAAATGAAGTTCTTAGCAATGCATGTTACTAATCAAACATTAAGTTTTGATATATTTACGATATTATTTCAAATATATATTTTAAAATATTTTAAAACATCCTGATGTATATTATATACAGTATATGATGTATATATAAAATATACAAATTTAATAATATTTAATTAATAATATATAATATATTTAAATACAATAAAATATATATAACCCTGGAGCACAAAACCAGTCATAAGGGTCAATTCTGTGAAATTGAGATGTATGCATCACCTGAAAGCTGAATAAATAAGCTCTCCATTGATGTATGGTTTGTTATGATCTGACAATATTTGAAAATCTGGAATCTGAGGATGCAAAAAAATCTAAATATTGAGAAAATCATCTTTAAAGTTGTTCAAATGAAGTTCTTAGCAATGCATGTTACTAATCAAACATTAAGTTTTGATATATTTACGATATTATTTCAAATATATATTTTAAAATATTTTAAAACATCCTGATGTATATTATATACAGTATATGATGTATATATAAAATATACAAATTTAATAATATTTAATTAATAATATATAATATATTTAAATACAATAAAATATATAATAAAATATATTTTATATTAAAATATAAATGATTAAAAAAATTGTTAATACTTTAAAGGTATAGTTCATCCAAAAAAATTCAAATTAACCCATGATTTACTCTAGAAAATTAAAAGTATACTTAGAAAGTATATGACTTTCTTCTTTCAGACGAATCGAATCGGAGTTATATTTAAAAATGTCCTGCTCTTCTAAGCTTTATAGTGGCATAAGCAAGTGTTTTCATTCAACAGTCCAAAAGAAGTCAAATAAAGCACATCCTTCCATAATAAAACATGCCTCACGCAGCTCCGGGGGGTGAATAAATGCCTCCTCTAGTGTTTTTTAAAGAAAAATATCCACGGCTAGCACGTACGACAGTTAGCGGAAGTGAGAGAAAAGTGTTTTAAATATGGATATTTTTCTGAGATTAATCGCGATTAAACGTTTGACAGCACTAGTTATAACATAAAGTAATACATTAACATTAATTAACAATGAGCATTATGAGCAGTGTCTATTAATTAAGTTGTTAATGTTAATTAATAAAAATACTGTGCATTGTAAGCTCATGTCAGCTTTGGTCCGTTAAATAATACGAACATACAATTTTTTATTTTAATAATGTATTAGTGAATGTTGAGCACATTTATTAAATTAATATATTTTTAGTTAAAATGTATTTTTGTATATAGTCACAGAATATATACACAATATTTCACAAATACTGCACAAAAATAAGACTTTTTTTCACTAAGTTATCAATGAAATGAGATGCTTAAGCTTCACAAATTGATGTTCATCAATCAAAAGGTCAAACTAAATAGTAAATGAGTGCAGAAAAATTAGTGTAAAAATGTACTGTGATTATTACCGTAACATATGTAATAGATCAGTCTAAAGAAAATATGATACAAATGTATAATAACATGAACTAACAATGAAAAATAATTCTAAAGCATTCATGATTTATACACTAAAATTAATTTGAGTAATTTAGTTATACTGTACATGCAAAGTACTTTCAAATGTTTTGTGCATGTATGCAACTACCCAAAAAGGAAGAAAATGCAATGCAACTTCATGATTCAGGCTTAAAATGAAAATAAATAAATAAAAATAAATTTGCATTGCATTCAGCAATGCACAAAACTAAATTCATTTGAACATTTTAGTGATTTAGTTAACTAATGTGAATTCTTCGTTGCCGATACAGTTAATACACAGTGCAGCTGTGAATAGTTCCTCACCTGCTCTGCTTTGCTTCCTCTGATGAGGTTGTCAGCTCTGTGCTCCTGGTTAGCAGCTATGAATTCTGGGATGTAGACGGAGGGTCTGGGTTTGAGCTGGCTCATGTGTGGCCAGAGCTTCTCCTGAAGACTCCAGTCCAGAACCTGAGCGCGCTCCATGGCTCTGCCGAGGTCCAGAGAAGAGATATCCCAGCCTGCGCACATATTACAGCTTCAGTCATTACTGCACAACGGCAAACAGAGCGTCAGATCACGAGAGCTGATGCAGCTACCATCAAACACAATGTCATTGGGATGCACCATCGGCAGCAGATCTCTGAAGGGAGCGTAAACCTCTCCATCCGGACCGGATCCCAGACACACCGTAGACGACTCCAGCAACGAGCCGTAGTAATTCGCTTTCTGAAAGAAGGACAGGATGATTCAAACATTCCCAGAACGTTCTGGCAAGGTAATCTGGACGCTATGAACAAATGCTCTTCCAGTGACGTTAATAGAATGTTCATTCAATGTTATCTGGTCTTTAACAATGTTTTCAAAACGTTAGCACAAAAATAATATCTATACATCATGTTGTTTTTTAAACATTTTAGTTGGATGTTCATCTGTTTTTTAAATGTTACTAATTGTTTCAGAACATTCAGAGAACGTTCAAACGTAACATTCCCATAATGTTTGCAAAGTGATAAAATGGAATGTTCCATTAATGTTTGTATAACCACGATATAAGACATTTTAAGACAAAAAACCTAAACGAATAGAACTTAACTTAATGGTAACATTCGCAAAACGTTCTTAGAAAACAATTGGTTTGCTGGGATATTTCAATAGGCCTAACTTATAACGCACAATCCAAAAGAATGGATGGTCTGAAATCAAAATATTATCAGATATTAATTATGAGAGGACGTAATAATCTAAGCAAAGCTGGGGAAAACATTCGTTTCTCAGCAGCATTCCCTCACATTAAAAGGGGCATAATTTGCAAATAAATTAATTAATTTCTAAACAGCATTTGTAATCCTCGCATCAGAATGGCACAATTTCAGTGCATTGTTTCTAATGCCTTTATCACATGATATCTGGTCATCCAGGCCTAGACAGGAATCGTGTGCTCTCACACACACACTCTCTCTCTCTCTCACTCACACTCTCACACACTCTCTCACTCACACACACACTCTCCCTCTCTCACACACACACTCTCTCTCTCTCTCTCTCACTCACACACACACACACACACACACACATTCATCTGTAGTAGGAATTTCTCTCTTCATTTCAGCAGCAGCTCCAGGTCGAGGTGCAGCTTGTGTCGGAGGATCATTACAGCCAAATCTGCAGGTACATTACATTATAATTAATATAATAAATTATTATATATAAACTATCTTTACTTTAAACATGAAAAATTGCATATTATAATCAATACGTGCATTTATGGACACACAATGTGCTAAAAAAGTAGCAATGATTATCAAGCAAATAAGGGATTGAAGAAAATATTCTTCGTCAAAAACTGTAAACCTGTTTAGGACAGTAAAGAATAAAACTTCTGTGCAACATGGACGAGAATGTGTACAAACTATATTAATCAGCAATTTCATAAATTCTGCAAATATAATTTTTGCATGTGGATGTTGTGCATGTTCAATCAAACCGACACAGATATCGAAGTTTGGAGATGATCATAAACTAATATGTCCATCAGTAGAGCTACACACGGTTCTTACAGGAGCGTCAGCAGCCACTTTCAAGCTCTGTCCTGTTTTAAAATAGAGCGCACACCTATAGAGATGAAGGCATTTCAAAGCTACGATCTGATGCTTTTGTTGTGCAGCCCTTCGACATTTCAGTCAGAGATCATTTAACCCTTTCAACACACCGTTGCTATTCATATGTGCTTCCATTTGTGTCTGATGAGCAGTAAAATGTTTCATATGCGCTGGGTTAAGCAAAAAATTGTCAAATTAAACATTATGCTTGCAAATGAAAATATATGGAAGCCCATTTCCACCAGATAAGAAAAAAAATCTTGCTTTAGTAAATCATAATTATGACAGTGTCAAAATTATTATATATTCAATTATGAGATAAAAAGAAAATTATTACATACCAAGTCATAAACATGACATAAGAAATCAACTGTCAACATTAAGTCATAATTTGTCATAATAAAGTCTTAACTGATGACATTTTTTAATCTAAATTATGAGATAACACTTGGAAATTATTACATACTAATCTCATAAGTTTGACTTTCTCACAATTATGACTTTTACTCATAAATCTGACTGTCATAATTTTGACATTATCAATGAATTTCTCACAATTGACATTTTCATAATTTCATATTTTTGTCAATTATGACACGTTGTTTTTATTTTTGAAACCTTTTAATAATTTTGACATTTCACTCAAATCATTTTCACTTTTTGTGTGATAATTATGACATTTTGTCACAAGCTTGACTTTTTAATTCTGATTTTTGACTTTTTATTCTAATATTTACTTTTTACTCTTATGATCTCAAATTAGAGATGTAAATTCGGAAAAAGATCTGAATTGCGGCAAACTTCCAATTATCTCAATTTCAACTTTATAAATACCATAATTTTGACTATATCATAATTCTGACATAGTATGTCATGATTTTGACTTTTTACTCTCATTTATGATTTATATACTCGCTTATGTCAGTTATACATTTTTTTGTCATAATTTTGAATTTTTAATATCAAATTGATTTATCAATGAATTTCTCACAATTGACATTTTCATAATTTCATATTTTTGTCAATTATGACACGTCGTTTTTATTTTTGAAACCTTTTAATAATTTTGACATTTCACTCAAATCATTTTCACTTTTTGTGTGATAATTATGACATTTTGTCACAAGCTTGACTTTTTAATTCTGATTTTTGACTTTTTATTCTAATATTTACTTTTTACTCTTATGATCTCAAATTAGAGATGTAAATTCGGAAAAAGATCTGAATTGCGGCAAACTTCCAATTATCTCAATTTCAACTTTATAAATACCATAATTTTGACTATATCATAATTCTGACATAGTATGTCATGATTTTGACTTTTTACTCTCATTTATGATTTATATACTCGCTTATGTCAGTTATACATTTTTTTGTCATAATTTTGAATTTTTAATATCAAATTGACTATCTCATAGTTCTGACGTAGTATGTCCCAATTTAGACATTGTTCTCATACATTTGACTGTTCTCTAATAATTAACTTTTCTCATATTTTTCACTTTTTATGTCAATTATGACTATCACTTTTTGACATTCTGTCATGATTTTGACTTTTTAATATCACATTGCCTATCTCATAGTTCTGACTTAAAGTAGTATGTCACAGTTTAGACATTGTTCTCATATACTTCACTTTTCTCAAATAATTTCAACTTTTTCTCATATGTTTCACTTTTTGTCAATTATTAATTTAACTTTATAAAAATCATAATTTTTACTTTATCTCATAATTCTGACTGTCATCATTTAAAAAATGTTCTTTCATAACTTAGATTTTTTTCACATAATGTTAACTTTTTGTCATATGACATTTGATGTTTTATGTCATCATTTTGACTTATTTTTAAACTCTCATAATTTAAATGTTTTATGTCATAATCTAAAGTTAGAGAGTTTTGGCCAAAATTATTAGAACAGTAGTATTTTCAGCAGCTAATGGTTTTAAGTCAGTTATTTCTATCTTTTGCTGTAGTGTGTCAGTAGGAAATATCAGTTTACATTTCCAAACATTCATTTAGCCATTAATTGTAATAATCCAGTGAGATTTTTGTGCTCCACACAGAGATCTGATCTGATCATCATCCAGTCCGTCTGTGATTATATGAAGAAACAGAACAATCCAGAAGAAGCTTTGTGGGAGGTTTCTTGAAGTGTCTTGCAGACACAGTTCAATTATTACAATTAATGGCAAAATTAATGTTATAAAGCGGATAGTTCCGGTCCTTGATTCTTTATTTGCTCTGTTTGATTTTGTGAAACCATACTACGTATATGGAATAACCATTTTATAAAAGCAATAAACCTAGTGAAGCCGTGGTTTGCAGTGAATTTATAACAGCTAAGGGGGTTTTAGGCACTTCGCTTCACGTCTTGGTGCTTCTAGATTTATTTGGAAATGTAAACTGATATTTCCTACTGACACACTACAGCAAAAGATAGAAATAACTGACTTAAAACCATTTTTAGCTGCTGATGTTCTAATCATTTTGGCCGCAATTGCAAGAAAAATGCATCAGAATTGTCAGAGAAAAAGTTGCTATTACATGTTTTAAGCTTCCGCAGATTAAAGCTGAAGTGACTTTGCTTTCATTGACCCAGTCATGACAGAGTCACCAGATTGCCTGCTGGACGGCAGTCCGCTCTTCAGCGCCGCTCAGCTGGGCAAACTGCGCTTGGTTCGTCTTCTGGTGGAGGGAGGAGCGCAGGTCAACGAGAGAAACCAGCGAGGAGAGACGCCTCTGCTGGCCGCCTGCCGAGCTCTGCGGGGCGATCAGTCCGGATCCAGCATGCTCAGACTCATCCAGTATCTCCTCCACAACCAGGCCGACCCGAACATCCAGGACAAGACGGGCCGCACGGCTCTGATGTACGCCTGCATGGAGCGGGCCGGGCCGGACGTGGCGTTGGCTCTGACCGCGGCGGGCGCAGATCCCAGCACAGAGGACTACGCCGGAGCCTCGGCCCTCGTTTACGCCATTAACGCCCGCGATCAGGACACACTTACAGTGCTGCGGGATGCCTGCAAAGCCCAGGGACAAGACATCATCATTATAGCCACCGATCTGAGCTGCGACCCGCATGTCCCTCCGTCGCCTGACAGCTCGCCCGTCTCCTGCATGTCGCCCTCAGACATCGAGCTCAAGACCAACTCTCCCAACTCTGAGGGCGAGAGCATATTTAACTTTCGAGGAGGCGGGCCGGTTTCTCCCGTCCATCCGAGTAGCGAGACTCGCTGTCGGCAGCGTTTGCGCTCGGAGCCTTGGCTGGCCCTCCAAAACCTGGCGCATCTCAGCCAGAGCTATGAGAAAAACTCAGACGAGGAGGAAAACCAAGAGGACGGCTGTTCTCTTCCCACCTGTGAGTTACAACAACAGATTTCTTCTTTAGTCACCACTTGAACCCATCTTTCAAGTGGTGACTAAATACATTTTTTAAATACGAAGATGGTCCCCCGATTTCACAGACAAGGCTTAAGGCTAGTCCTAGACTAAAATGCATGGTTGAGCTGTTGAGTTTGAACAATCCAGAAGAAGCTTTGTGGGAGGTTTCTTGAAGTGTCTTGCAGACACAGTTCAATTATTACAATTAATGGCAAAATTAATGTTATAAAGCGGATAGTTCCGGTCCTTGATTCTTTATTTGCTCTGTTTGATTTTGTGAAACCATACTACGTATATGGAATAACCATTTTATAAAAGCAATAAACCTAGTGAAGCCGTGGTTTGCAGTGAATTTATAACAGCTAAGGGGGTTTTAGGCACTTCGCTTCACGTCTTGGTGCTTCTAGATTTATTTGGAAATGTAAACTGATATTTCCTACTGACACACTACAGCAAAAGATAGAAATAACTGACTTAAAACCATTTTTAGCTGCTGATGTTCTAATCATTTTGGCCGCAATTGCAAGAAAAATGCATCAATTGTCAGAGAAAAAGTTGCTATTACATGTTTTAAGCTTCCGCAGATTAAAGCTGAAGTGACTTTGCTTTCATTGACCCAGTCATGACAGAGTCACCAGATTGCCTGCTGGACGGCAGTCCGCTCTTCAGCGCCGCTCAGCTGGGCAAACTGCGCTTGGTTCGTCTTCTGGTGGAGGGAGGAGCGCAGGTCAACGAGAGAAACCAGCGAGGAGAGACGCCTCTGCTGGCCGCCTGCCGAGCTCTGCGGGGCGATCAGTCCGGATCCAGCATGCTCAGACTCATCCAGTATCTCCTCCACAACCAGGCCGACCCGAACATCCAGGACAAGACGGGCCGCACGGCTCTGATGTACGCCTGCATGGAGCGGGCCGGGCCGGACGTGGCGTTGGCTCTGACCGCGGCGGGCGCAGATCCCAGCACAGAGGACTACGCCGGAGCCTCGGCCCTCGTTTACGCCATTAACGCCCGCGATCAGGACACACTTACAGTGCTGCGGGATGCCTGCAAAGCCCAGGGACAAGACATCATCATTATAGCCACCGATCTGAGCTGCGACCCGCATGTCCCTCCGTCGCCTGACAGCTCGCCCGTCTCCTGCATGTCGCCCTCAGACATCGAGCTCAAGACCAACTCTCCCAACTCTGAGGGCGAGAGCATATTTAACTTTCGAGGAGGCGGGCCGGTTTCTCCCGTCCATCCGAGTAGCGAGACTCGCTGTCGGCAGCGTTTGCGCTCGGAGCCTTGGCTGGCCCTCCAAAACCTGGCGCATCTCAGCCAGAGCTATGAGAAAAACTCAGACGAGGAGGAAAACCAAGAGGACGGCTGTTCTCTTCCCACCTGTGAGTTACAACAACAGATTTCTTCTTTAGTCACCACTTGAACCCATCTTTCAAGTGGTGACTAAATACATTTTTTAAATACGAAGATGGTCCCCCGATTTCACAGACAAGGCTTAAGGCTAGTCCTAGACTAAAATGCATGGTTGAGCTGTTGAGTTTGACTTATTCTAAAATATGTCAGTGACATTGTTCTGCCTCAAGATGCACACCTGAAACGTTTCATTCTAAGGCATTTTTATAAAAGCTGCTTAAATGTCTTAATTTAACTACGGCCTAATCCTGGCTTAAGCTAAGCCCTGTCTGTGAAACCGGGCCAGTATGTTAAAAGCGCATTTTAGTCCCAAAATAGCACAGCGGAGCACACTTACACGATCTTAAATTTATCTTAAGAAGTACAAAAGAATGATTTTTAGTATAGGCCTATTAAGTACAAAATTAGTGTGCGAAAATAGAGCACTTAAGTATATTACGGAAGTGCACTTTTTTTTCCACCTAGGCTTTATGACACGCCAATCTCAGAAAAAGATGAAAATAAAAAAATATTTGAGATAAGCAAACTCAGAGAGAAGAAAACTAAGAGGAGTGGCAACCTTAGAGCTATGTCCATAGCAGATAACCCTGAGTTTCTACCCTCTAGGTGGGATGCTACTTTCAAAAGATGATATTAACTACAAAATTAGTGAGCAAAAATAAAGCACTAGAAGTACATTATGGAAGTGCACTTTTTTTTCATCTGGGAGGCTAGTGCCGACAAAGGGGTATTTGGTACAGAGTCCTGTTCCACGTTAACCCATCCTGTTTCCAAAAAATAGATTTGAAGTTTAAACCCGAATCAGAGCAGCTGCAGAGCAGAAGAAACACGCTTCCAGATCTTCTTCAGCCGCCGGCCCTTAAACTCACACTGTCCGGATCCGACACTCACTTGCACCGGGATCCCTGCACTTCGAGGTTCCCTTCCATCTACAGGAGCAGTTCGCTGTTGCTGGCGCCTCCCGACGGGCTTCACGAGCTCCACGCGCCGAACAGAAAGAAGGCAAGAGAGCAGGCGAGAGCTCACGGCGGATTCTTGCCTCCTCTTCCCGGTGTTTCCGTGAGGAACGTGTGCAGAGATCCGATCCCAGCCTCAGCTCCTCTCAGACGGGAAGCTCACGGTCCGTCACGCCGTCACTCGGTTCAACTCGAGCAAATAACACCGAAGGAAAGCTCGGAGACGCTCTACCTGTTGTGAAACATCTTCTAATAAAACAGAAACAATTACACTATACCAGTCAAACAAAAAAAAAGAAGCTTTGATCACAGTAAACAATTACATTTTTAAATATATTCAAATAGAAAGCAGTTATTTTAAATAGTAAAAATATTTCACAGTATTATTGCTTTTGCATCAAATACATGCAGGCTTGGTGAGCAGAAGAGAACTCTTTAAAAAAACATTAAAAATCATACCGTTCAAAAACTTTTGACTGGTAGTGTACATATCATTAATACACTGTTTTAGAGGAATAAATAATAAAAAAGACAGCATTTAGTATGCATAGTTTAAAACAAAGGGCGTAAAGCCAATCACACAGAGTACATTTTTCATTTTTAAAAATGAGTTGCAGTGGGATGGGGGGAAAACACCCCATAAAGTCTAATACACTGTATTAGAGGAATAAATAATAAAAAAGACAGCATTTGATTAGATCATTATGTTCAACTTCTCAGCTTTTGGTCAAAAATAAAGTCACGACAATTAAATAACGTGAACCTGTAAAATACTGTTTTAGGAATAAAAAGAAGAATAACTGATTTAATGCTGGTTGATTATTATTACTTGTTTTATTGCTGGTGGGATGTTATTAATAAAAACATTTTGCCCCTAAAACCGTTTAATCAGATCTTTGTGTTTAACTTCTCAGCTTTTGTTCATAAAGCCAACAAACAACTTGGACAATTACAGAACCTGAACCTGTAAAACAGCTGTATTAGGAAGAAACATTAATTAAAGAATAATATTATTTAAAATAATTTGTCTTATTACTGGATGGTTGTTGTTTAAAAAAGGCATTTTGCAGCTGAATAATACACTGTTTTAGAGGAATAAATAATAAAAAAGACAGCATTTGATTAGATCATTATGTTCAACTTCTCAGCTTTTGGTCATAAAAATAAAGCCACGACAATTAAATAACGTGAACCTGTAAAATACTGTTTTAGGAATAAAAAGAAGAATAACTGATTTAATGCTGGTTGATTATTATTACTTGTTTTATTGCTGGTGGGATGTTATTAATAAAAACATTTTGCCCCTAAAACCGTTTAATCAGATCTTTGTGTTTAACTTCTCAGCTTTTGTTCATAAAGCCAACAAACAACTTGGACAATTACAGAACCTGAACCTGTAAAACAGCTGTATTAGGAAGAAAAATTAATAAAAGAATAATATTATTTAAAATAATTTGTCTTATTACTGGATGGTTGTTGTTTAAAAAAGGCATTTTGCAGCTGAAAACAGTTTAAATCCACCAAACAACTCAGACAATTAAATAACATGAAACTGTAAAATACTGTTTAAGGAAGAAAAACAACTGACTAAATGCTGGTTGGTTATTAAAAAAATAAAAATTAAAAGAAAGCAAGCAAGCAAGAAAGAAAGAAAGGAAGGAAAATAAAATGTAGCCACTAAAAACAGTTTGATTGAATCATTGTGTTTTGTTGCAACCAAATAAAGCCACTAACTCAGACAATTACATATCATTAACTTGAACATGTAAATGCTCGGGTTACTAACGTAACCTCGGTTCCCTGAGATAAGGGAACAAGCGCTGTGAATGGGGGTAAATGCCTGTTTACCGTTTTCTCTGTTACTGAAGCCAGATTTGTTCACGTTTGTGTAGCTGCACAACCCAATGGCGCTTTAGCCCGCCAGAAAGGGTGGAGCTGACGTGTATATAAATTGGCTTGCAGCACCATTTCATCAGAATCATTCGACTGAAGCGACAGTCATTGATTCGTGTGCAGCTTATAGCACGGCAAGTGACACAACGCTCGTTCCCTTATTTCAGGGAACTGAGGTTACATCAGTAACCGGAGCATTCCCTTTCAAACGTTCACGTCACATCGTGTATGGGGAACGAATACAATCACGCCATGCTATGAGCAGAAGCAGACTAAGCCGCTCTGCGAGCCCAGTTCTGGAGCACTTATGTTAAGGGCCCCTAGAGAACATGAGCCAACTGAGTCCTGAGTGTAGCAGAGGACTTTGGACATAGCTATTTCCACCATAGGGAGAAATAAGCACTTTCAAACGTTCACGTCACATTGTGTATGGGGAACGAATACAATCACGCCATGCTATGAGCAGAACCAGACTAAGCCGCTCTGCGAGCCCAGTTCTGGAGCACTTATGTTAAGGGCCCCTAGAGAACATGAGCCAACTGAGTCCTGAGTGTAGCAGAGGACTTTGGACATAGCTATTTCCACCATAGGGAGAAATAAGCAGTTTACGGCGATAAAATCCGTGCCTGGGGAGCAGGGACATCTAGGCTGTAGAATCTGGCAAACGTGGACGCCGTCGACCAGCCGGCGGCCGCACATATCTCACCAACAGAGATTCCGCTGGACCAAGCCCAGGAGGAGGCCATTCCTCTAGTGGAGTGGGCCCTCACACCTATGGGGCATTGCAAACCTTCTGAGGCATAAGCCAAGGCTATAGCATCAATTATCCAACGGGACAGTCTTTGCTTTGTAACCGGCAGCCCCTTAGAGTAACTGTCTGAATAGGCTGGATATATTCTCAGGGCCCTGACGGGGCAGAGAACATTGGGACCCTGCTCACCATCTGCAGCGGGGAGCACCAGAAGGGGAATTACCTGGGCTCTGAACGGAGTTGAGAGCACCTTCGGAACATATCCATGTCTAGGCTTGAGGACGACTTCACAATCGCTGGGCCCAAACTCCAGACAGGAAGCACTGATCGACAGTGCTCGTAAGTCACACACTCGCTTAACCGATGTTAGTGCCAGTAGTAGAGTGGTTTTCAGCGAGAAAGGGCGTAGTTCGGCTGAATGTAGTGGCTCGAAGGGAGGACCCCGTAGGGCCCTAAGGACTATTGACAAGTCCCAGATTGGTACAGACTGAGGACGAGGAGGGTTTAATCTCCGGGCACCCTTCAAGAACTTAACGATCAGATAGTTTCTGCCGATCGAGTGGCCAGCTTTGAGGCCAATCCGGCCTGACCGGCCGCTGCATATGCCCTGTTGGCCAGAGCCGAAGTGGTCCTGCAGGGCTTCGAGGGCTTCAATCCCAGGGCGGATGGCGGACACAAGTGAGCAGCTACCGCCTCCTCCAGAGGTGGGAGCTTGCTATAGCCTTTTTCTCAGCACCGTCAACGGTGGTGAGAGCTGCAGAGGAGGAGGAGCTAACTCGGGCCGAATAGGGGGGAGCATTATGTGGTCAGTTCTTTGTGAACTGCAGGCAAGAACGGGGCGGGCCGCTGGTGGAAAGGCGGCTGACGGCATCCTGGCAGGAACCACAAATCTAAAAGGCCATGGGTGGGCTCATCTGGAGCCGACCACTCGACACCCAGATCCTACACCGCCTTGGAGAGAACACGGATCAGCTCGCTGTCCAATTTTGGCCACGATGGTTGGGATGAAGGGAGGGCTTCGGGCTCGTCGCTGAAGGAGAAGATTCTGATGAAATGGCGCTGCGAGCCGACTTATATACACACGTTGGCTCCACCCTTTCTGGCGGGCTAAAGTGCCATTGGTTTGTGCAGCTACTCAAACATGAACAAATCAGGCTTCAGTAACAGAGTAAACAGGAGTTTACCCCAATACACAACGTGAAGTGAACGTTCGAAAGGGAAACACTGTTTTAGGAAGATAAATAAAAAAGCAAGAATAATCTGTCTTACTCTTATTGCTGGTTGGTTGTTGTTATTTAAAAATGGCACTAAAATAACATAACTTAATCAGATTATTGTGTTCAACTTCTCAGCTTTTGTTCATAAAAATAAAGCCAGCAAACAATGTTTTCCTTTCCAGCTGCTAAGAAATCGAACCGTCATATCAGATCATGAGCTCATGTGTTTTTCTGAAACACACTCTAAACAAATACAATAAGACTTCATAAGTCAACATGAAACCACATTTGCAGCTCCTTTTACTCCCATAATTTGATGTATTTCCAAGTTAAATGCATCAATAGGATTTACAATCATATTTAAATGCACATAACATATTTTTCGTGCATGAATACTTCCATTAAGACAGCGAGATCAGAACAGACAATAAATGAAGCTGTTAATAAATCTGAATATAAGAGTGTTTAATGAGAAAAAAACCTAAATGTGAGGCAGTAATGTGAATGTGGAATTACTGAAAGAACATTAAAAACATTAACAGCACCATAAATTACATATATCAAGTCATATTCATCAATACAGGTTTGATATTAAAGATGCTCTCTACAGGAACTCAGTGAATCAACCGTTAACATCTTTAGTAAAACTTGGGCCACTTTTTGATGGCCAAACATGGCCAAATCTGAACTGTGGCCCAAAAAGATGAAACAATGTGGCAATAGAATGCAAAGACAAACCGACCAGCAGGCGGCCGCACATATCTCACCAACAGAGATTCCGCTGGACCAAGTCCAGGAGGAGGCCATTCCTCTAGTGGAGTGGGCCCTCACACCTATGGGGCATTGCAAACCTTCTGCGGCATAAGCCAAGGCTATAGCATCACTTATCCAACGGGCAACGGGACAGTCTTTGCTTTGTAACCGGCAGCCCCTTAGAGTAACTGTCTGAATAGGCTGGATATATTCTCAGGGCCCTGACGGGGCAGAGAACATTGGGACCCTGCTCACCATCTGCAGCGGGGAGCACCAGAAGGGGAATTACCTGGGCTCTGAACGGAGTTGAGAGCACCTTCGGAACATATCCATGTCTAGGCTTGAGGACGACTTCACAATCGCTGGGCCCAAACTCCAGACAGGAAGCACTGATCGACAGTGCTCGTAAGTCACACACTCGCTTAACCGATGTTAGTGCCAGTAGTAGAGTGGTTTTCAGCGAGAAAGGGCGTAGTTCGGCTGAATGTAGTGGCTCGAAGGGAGGACCCCGTAGGGCCCTAAGGACTATTGACAAGTCCCAGATTGGTACAGTCTGAGGACGAGGAGGGTTTAATCTCCGGGCACCCTTCAAGAACTTAACGATCAGATAGTTTCTGCCGATCGAGTGGCCAGCTTTGAGGCCAATCCGGCCTGACCGGCCGCTGCATATGCCCTGTTGGCCAGAGCCGAAGTGGTCCTGCAGGGCTTCGAGGGCTTCAATCCCAGGGCGGATGGCGGACACAAGTGAGCAGCTACCGCCTCCTCCAGAGGTGGGAGCTTGCTATAGCCTTTTTCTCAGCACCGTCAACGGTGGTGAGAGCGGCAGAGGAGGAGGAGCTAACTCGGGCCGAATAGGGGGGAGCATTATGTGGTCAGTTCTTTGTGAACTGCAGGCAAGAACGGGGCGGGCCGCTGGTGGAAAGGCGGCTGACGGCATCCTGGCAGGAACCACAAATCTAAAAGGCCATGGGTGGGCTCATCTGGAGCCGACCACTCGACACCCAGATCCTACACCGCCTTGGAGAGAACACGGATCAGCTCGCTGTCCAATTTTGGCCACGATGGTTGGGATGAAGGGAGGGCTTCGGGCTCGTCGCTGAAGGAGAAGATTCTGATGAAATGGCGCTGCGAGCCGACTTATATACACACGTTGGCGCCACCCTTTCTGGCGGGCTAAAGTGCCATTGGTTTGTGCAGCTACTCAAACATGAACAAATCAGGCTTCAGTAACAGAGTAAACAGGAGTTTACCCCAATACACAACGTGAAGTGAACGTTCGAAAGGGAAACACTGTTTTAGGAAGATAAATAAAAAAGCAAGAATAATCTGTCTTACTCTTATTGCTGGTTGGTTGTTGTTATTTAAAAATGGCACTAAAATAACATAACTTAATCAGATTATTGTGTTCAACTTCTCAGCTTTTGTTCATAAAAATAAAGCCAGCAAACAATGTTTTCCTTTCCAGCTGCTAAGAAATCGAACCGTCATATCAGATCATGAGCTCATGTGTTTTTCTGAAACACACTCTAAACAAATACAATAAGACTTCATAAGTCAACATGAAACCACATTTGCAGCTCCTTTTACTCCCATAATTTGATGTATTTCCAAGTTAAATGCATCAATAGGATTTACAATCATATTTAAATGCACATAACATATTTTTCGTGCATGAATACTTCCATTAAGACAGCGAGATCAGAACAGACAATAAATGAAGCTGTTAATAAATCTGAATATAAGAGTGTTTAATGAGAAAAAAACCTAAATGTGAGGCAGTAATGTGAATGTGGAATTACTGAAAGAACATTAAAAACATTAACAGCACCATAAATTACATATATCAAGTCATATTCATCAATACAGGTTTGATATTAAAGATGCTCTCTACAGGAACTCAGTGAATCAACCGTTAACATCTTTAGTAAAACTTGGGCCACTTTTTGATGGCCAAACATGGCCAAATCTGAACTGTGGCCCAAAAAGATGAAACAATGTGGCAATAGAATGCAAAGACAAACCAATCATAAACTCCAAAGCACTTACCTCAGTAAATATTCATGAGCTCTGTATAGTCACAGAAACGTCCATGTGCATCTGCTGGAAACCACTAAAAAGATGCAACTGTTAACTGGAGTAAAGAAGAAAGTATTATTTCTGCTGCATGTGTCAGAAGAATCAAATGGATGCGCAGTTATTAAAACAAGCTCATTAATATGCAAATAGGCACATGAACTCAGGAATTACAGATCAAATCATGATTACCCAGGGTTAATTCAGACAGAAACATAGAACAAGATAACAGAGGATTATGTGAACACATTTGGTTGACAATTTCCCAGTGAAAATCCCATTATAGTGATAAAAACATAAAATCTAAACGATTACACTCATCAGATTTCAGCATCAGGCTGTTTCACGCAAGTAACACACTTAAAGACATCATGAAAATAAAGGTTTGTGGGTCGCCACAACAAATATTTCCTTTAAAAACAGCCGTAAATTATAAAACGGGCATCAGGATTGGAAGTGTTATTAAATTGCAAAGAAAGATTTTTTGGAGTTGTAAATATTATTGGAGAGCATGTGGCTTCTTAAACAGAATAAAGCACGCAACATATTTCATAGAATTCTATGCAGTGATAAAGGATATGTCAATTAGCATTGCATTATACTTTATTACAATGAAAATTATTAATAATTATAATAAGAAATCAGATAAACCATATACGTGAGCCTGGAGCACAAAAGCAGTCATAAGTAGCACAGGTATATTTGTAGCAATAACCAAAAATACACTGTATGGGTCAAATAGTTGTATCTCGGCCAAATATTGTCATATCCTAACAAACCATACATCAATGGAAATCTTTTTTATTCAGCTTTCAGCTGATGTATAAATCTCAATTTCAAATAATTGACCCTCATGACTTTTGTGTTTTTTGGTCCAGGGTCATATATTGTTGTAGTCATGTGTTTATTAGTCACGCTGAATCAATGAAAGCAGTTAAATCTTCAGTTTATTCAGCTACCGCTATAGGGATTTTCTGGATTTCTTCTCTTTAGGTTGGCTGGCCTTCGGATGGAGATTTACTACTGATCACAGAACCATGCTTCACTGACTAGATGCGCATGACAATCGCAGCGATTTAATTTCGATTTATCGTGCAGCCCTAGTTACAATATGCAGAAATCTCACTTTGAGACAAAGCGTTGGGATCGGCGTTCTTCATCTCTGTCCGCTGTGCAGGCGCACGTGCCGGAGACAGTTGTCCTGTCTGGAGAAGGTTTTCCCGCACAACTGACAGCGGAAGGGTTTCTCGCCTGTATGCACTCGTCTGTGCGTGATCAAACGCATCCGCTGCGTGAAGCCCTTCCCGCATTCCTCACAGCGGAACGGTCTGGGCCGCGAGAACGAGAATGCCGCCGAGTCGCCGGATCCGGATGAGCGTTCCTGTCGAGGAAGATTCAATCCGTACTCAACGTCTCCAGAAACGCCAAAGCCGAAAAAGAACAAACCAGATGAAGCCTGCGCCGCCGGATCCTCCATCATCACGTTCGAATCTGGAAGCATCTGGGATCGTTGCTCTACCAGACTCTCCGGATCGTCGAACGCTTTCGAACGCCACGAGTTTCCGTCTTCACGACGGGTTTCGTTCTTCTGTTCTGCTTGAACTTGATTCAGCTTCTGATCCACAAGCTCCTCCACCTGTTCGATCTTCATCTCAAACTCCAGGCCGCCGAGCTCCTCTTCCTCCGGCTCTGGTGAGGATGTGACGGGATCTTCTCGCTTCAGCTCCAGCGCATGGGAATGATGAGGCTTCTCTTCTGTGATGAGATCCTTCACCGGGCAGACCGAAACCACCTTCTCCTGACTGTGATCATCAGGCCGTGAATGAGCCGATACACCTGCTGACAAATACATGCATTCATGTGTCAATAAGAGGATTTACTAAGGGTGCTCCGATAAGAATATTTTTTGGGCCGATCACCGATTGTCGATCACAGGAAGCAGTATCTGCCGATACCGATCACCTATACCGATCTTTTTGAAGCCTTATTTTTATCACGTAGAACTATTTATAGTGATGCTCCAGTCAGGATTTTTAGACATTCATTCAGGGCCTGAATTTCATTTTTGAAAATAGGGGGAATTCCCCCCTTAGTTGACTCTTGTGGGGGTGCTTATACATTTTTTTTTTTTTTACATTTTTCAAAAATATATAATTATGCACCTAAATGTTTGATCATGCAGTGCATTTTTGTTTTTACAATGGGGCAATTGTTGCAATAGCTTACACACAGCACAAGCCTGATTTCGTGAGCTGTATGTGAGGCGGCCTCATGCCAGGTTCACACATACTCCGTTTGCAGTGCGAATGCAGTTCATGTAAGCGGTGCAGAAGCAGCAGGACTCATTATGCTTTCACACAGGAGTCTGCAAGTGATCCGTGGCTGTTTACCACAAACACAACATTTATACATTTTGATTTCGAATCTAAACGTTGTTACTGAAAATGCTTTTTGAGCATTGTGATTCTCTTTTTACGTAGTACAGTGATACAATCTTTCATAGACGTGTTTAAACGCAAAAAATATAAGCAAGAGTATGTATGAACCGGGCGTTATGTGTGCGCGTTTTGAGCATGCATGAGCCTCTAGGAGAGCGTTCAAGTGCCGAATTATATAAACACGGGCAACAATTAAAATGAAATTTTTTTTTTTATAAACTTTAGTGACGATGCAACACTGTGCAAGTGACAATTAAAGACCACCGACCAAACTTCCCCAAGCCATTATCGGCCGATAGCGATCGATAGCCGATCAATCAGAGCACCCCTAGGATTTACTCAATGCAACAATAAAACGAGCCGACTTATATACACACGTTGGCTCCACCCTTTCTGGCGGGCTAAAGTGCCATTGGTTTGTGCAGCTACTCAAACATGAACAAATCAGGCTTCAGTAACAGAGTAAACAGGAGTTTACCCCAATACACAACGTGAAGTGAATGTTCGAAAGGGAAACATTGTTTTAGGAAGATAAATAAAAAAAGCAAGAATAATCTGTCTTACTCTTATTGCTGGTTGGTTGTTGTTATTTAAAAATGGCACTAAAATAACATAACTTAATCAGATTATTGTGTTCAACTTCTCAGCTTTTGTTCATAAAAATAAAGCCAGCAAACAATGTTTTCCTTTCCAGCTGCTAAGAAATCGAACCGTCATATCAGATCATGAGCTCATGTGTTTTTCTGAAACACACTCTAAACAAATACAATAAGACTTCATAAGTCAACATGAAACCACATTTGCAGCTCCTTTTACTCCCATAATTTGATGTATTTCCAAGTTAAATGCATCAATAGGATTTACAATCATATTTAAATGCACATAACATATTTTTCGTGCATGAATACTTCCATTAAGACAGCGAGATCAGAACAGACAATAAATGAAGCTGTTAATAAATCTGAATATAAGAGTGTTTAATGAGAAAAAAACCTAAATGTGAGGCAGTAATGTGAATGTGGAATTACTGAAAGAACATTAAAAACATTAACAGCACCATAAATTACATATATCAAGTCATATTCATCAATACAGGTTTGATATTAAAGATGCTCTCTACAGGAACTCAGTGAATCAACCGTTAACATCTTTAGTAAAACTTGGGCCACTTTTTGATGGCCAAACATGGCCAAATCTGAACTGTGGCCCAAAAAGATGAAACAATGTGGCAATAGAATGCAAAGACAAACCAATCATAAACTCCAAAGCACTTACCTCAGTAAATATTCATGAGCTCTGTATAGTCACAGAAACGTCCATGTGCATCTGCTGGAAACCACTAAAAAGATGCAACTGTTAACTGGAGTAAAGAAGAAAGTATTATTTCTGCTGCATGTGTCAGAAGAATCAAATGGATGCGCAGTTATTAAAACAAGCTCATTAATATGCAAATAGGCACATGAACTCAGGAATTACAGATCAAATCATGATTACCCAGGGTTAATTCAGACAGAAACATAGAACAAGATAACAGAGGATTATGTGAACACATTTGGTTGACAATTTCCCAGTGAAAATCCCATTATAGTGATAAAAACATAAAATCTAAACGATTACACTCATCAGATTTCAGCATCAGGCTGTTTCACGCAAGTAAACTGCAACAACACACTTAAAGACATCATGAAAATAAAGGTTTGTGGGTCGCCACAACAAATATTTCCTTTAAAAACAGCCGTAAATTATAAAACGGGCATCAGGATTGGAAGTGTTATTAAATTGCAAAGAAAGATTTTTTGGAGTTGTAAATATTATTGGAGAGCATGTGGCTTCTTAAACAGAATAAAGCACGCAACATATTTCATAGAATTCTATGCAGTGATAAAGGATATGTCAATTAGCATTGCATTATACTTTATTACAATGAAAATTATTAATAATTATAATAAGAAATCAGATAAACCATATATGTGACCCTGGAGCACAAAAGCAGTCATAAGTAGCACAGGTATATTTGTAGCAATAACCAAAAATACACTGTATGGGTCAAATAGTTGTATCTCGGCCAAATATTGTCATATCCTAACAAACCATACATCAATGGAAATCTTTTTTATTCAGCTTTCAGCTGATGTATAAATCTCAATTTCAAATAATTGACCCTCATGACTTTTGTGTTTTTTGGTCCAGGGTCATATATTGTTGTAGTCATGTGTTTATTAGTCACGCTGAATCAATGAAAGCAGTTAAATCTTCAGTTTATTCAGCTACCGCTATAGGGATTTTCTGGATTTCTTCTCTTTAGGTTGGCTGGCCTTCGGATGGAGATTTACTACTGATCACAGAACCATGCTTCACTGACTAGATGCGCATGACAATCGCAGCGATTTAATTTCGATTTATCGTGCAGCCCTAGTTACAATATGCAGAAATCTCACTTTGAGACAAAGCGTTGGGATCGGCGTTCTTCATCTCTGTCCGCTGTGCAGGCGCACGTGCCGGAGACAGTTGTCCTGTCTGGAGAAGGTTTTCCCGCACAACTGACAGCGGAAGGGTTTCTCGCCTGTATGCACTCGTCTGTGCGTGATCAAACGCATCCGCTGCGTGAAGCCCTTCCCGCATTCCTCACAGCGGAACGGTCTGGGCCGCGAGAACGAGAATGCCGCCGAGTCGCCGGATCCGGATGAGCGTTCCTGTCGAGGAAGATTCAATCCGTACTCAACGTCTCCAGAAACGCCAAAGCCGAAAAAGAACAAACCAGATGAAGCCTGCGCCGCCGGATCCTCCATCATCACGTTCGAATCTGGAAGCATCTGGGATCGTTGCTCTACCAGACTCTCCGGATCGTCGAACGCTTTCGAACGCCACGAGTTTCCGTCTTCACGACGGGTTTCGTTCTTCTGTTCTGCTTGAACTTGATTCAGCTTCTGATCCACAAGCTCCTCCACCTGTTCGATCTTCATCTCAAACTCCAGGCCGCCGAGCTCCTCTTCCTCCGGCTCTGGTGAGGATGTGACGGGATCTTCTCGCTTCAGCTCCAGCGCATGGGAATGATGAGGCTTCTCTTCTGTGATGAGATCCTTCACCGGGCAGACCGAAACCACCTTCTCCTGACTGTGATCATCAGGCCGTGAATGAGCCGATACACCTGCTGACAAATACATGCATTCATGTGTCAATAAGAGGATTTACTAAGGGTGCTCCGATAAGAATATTTTTTGGGCCGATCACCGATTGTCGATCACAGGAAGCAGTATCTGCCGATACCGATCACCTATACCGATCTTTTTGAAGCCTTATTTTTATCACGTAGAACTATTTATAGTGATGCTCCAGTCAGGATTTTTAGACATTCATTCAGGGCCTGAATTTCATTTTTGAAAATAGGGGGAATTCCCCCCTTAGTTGACTCTTGTGGGGGTGCTTATACATTTTTTTTTTTTTACATTTTTCAAAAATATATAATTATGCACCTAAATGTTTGATCATGCAGTGCATTTTTGTTTTTACAATGGGGCAATTGTTGCAATAGCTTACACACAGCACAAGCCTGATTTCGTGAGCTGTATGTGAGGCGGCCTCATGCCAGGTTCACACATACTCCGTTTGCAGTGCGAATGCAGTTCATGTAAGCGGTGCAGAAGCAGCAGGACTCATTATGCTTTCACACAGGAGTCTGCAAGTGATCCGTGGCTGTTTACCACAAACACAACATTTATACATTTTGATTTCGAATCTAAACGTTGTTACTGAAAATGCTTTTTGAGCATTGTGATTCTCTTTTTACGTAGTACAGTGATACAATCTTTCATAGACGTGTTTAAACGCAAAAAATATAAGCAAGAGTATGTATGAACCGGGCGTTATGTGTGCGCGTTTTGAGCATGCATGAGCCTCTAGGAGAGCGTTCAAGTGCCGAATTATATAAACACGGGCAACAATTAAAATGAAATTTTTTTTTTTATAAACTTTAGTGACGATGCAACACTGTGCAAGTGACAATTAAAGACCACCGACCAAACTTCCCCAAGCCATTATCGGCCGATAGCGATCGATAGCCGATCAATCAGAGCACCCCTAGGATTTACTCAATGCAACAATAAAACGAACAGTTCCAGCTCTAAAGTCTGTATATGAATTCCATATTAACACGTCAGATGCAACTAATCATTAGGTTAATGAACTACATTACTTACTGCAAAAAAAATCTGATAATCATCATTATTAACACTTTATGGTTTTTGCAACACTGGTGACTTTTAATATATTTACATAAAAATAACAACAAAAATACAATTGATAGATAATGTATTTTATTGTTTTTATTTGTTTTACGTAAATTATATATTAAAAATTATATAATCAACTTATATATATATATATATGTGTGTGTGTGTGTGTGATTATATATATATATATATATATATATATATATATATACAGTGGGGCAAAAAAGTATTTAGTCAGCCACCAATTGTGCAATTTCTCCCACTTAAAAAGATGAGAGAGGCCTGTAATTTTCATCATAGGTATACCTCAACTATGAGAGACAAAATGAGAAAAAAAAATCCAGAAAATCACATTGTAGGATTTTTAAAGAATTTATTGGTAAATTCCTCGGTAAAATAAGTATTTGGTCACCTACAAACAAGCAAGATTTCTGGCTCTCACAGACCTGTAACTTCTTCTTTAAGAGGCTCATTATTTCCTCTCTGACATTCATTAGAAAGCCTTATTGAGTTTACACAACACAAATTAATCTGCAGATCAAGCCACACAGAAACAAACACAGTCCTGCAATACATAACAGTGTAAATTACAGCACTCCCGGCCAGTGATCCATTAAGACACGAGAGGACTTTATCCAACATATCCATCAGAAAGTCATGGATTTTTATTGTCAATAGAAAAATGGTGCTCCCATATTAAATAACCCACACAAACAAAAAATACAGCAGAACAGCATAGCACAGGCTTTACAGGTTATAAAAAAATGAAAACATTTAGTACTTTCAAACGATTAATCGCATCCAAAATAAAAGTTTTTGTTTACATAATATATGTGTGTGTACTGTGTATATTTATTATGTGTATACATACAAACACATGCATGTATATATATATATATATATATATATATATATAAGAAAAATACATTGTTTATATATATTAAATATTTATGTATACAATACATTTTAAGATTATAAACATATAGACATGTAAATATGTAATATACATAGTACACACACATAGGCTATATTATGTAAACAAAAACTTTTATTTTGGATGCAATTAATCACGATTAATCGTTTGACAGCACTAATTTATATATAAATGCAATGCATTTTATGTTTCAGACAAGGTTTAACAAATAGATTTTAAAAAAAGGATATAAAAGTACTCTGTTGACCAGCTACTCAAAAAAAGGCAGTATATAAAGCAAAGCAATGCTGTTTTATAATTGATCATACAAAATATGTGACGAATGTCAAACGAAGTCATGGCATTTCATGAATCACCAGTACGCATACGCCTCTTCTTCGGTGTGGCTGCGCTGGTGTAGTTTGAGCGAGTTTAAGTGCGAGTAGGACTTGCCGCACTCCTCGCAGCTGTAGGGTTTCTCTCCGGTGTGCGAGCGCTGGTGTGAGATCAGGTGTGAGTTGCAGTAGAAGCCTTTTCCGCACTGCGGGCAGGTGTAGGGTCTCTCTCCGGTGTGGATGCGCTGGTGGATCTTCAGGTAGAAGCGTGTGGTGAAGGTCTTTCCACACTGAGGGCAGCGTGAGCTCCTCTCCGCCGCTGATGGATTCGCACGCTCGCCTGTTCTGTACGCTTCCTCCACGTGGTGCTGCGCACTCGGATCTGGCCGACGGATTTCATATCGCTCGCCTGATTCCAGAGGAGACGTGTCCAAACTCTGGGTTTCGGCGTTCATGGGATATTCCTCAGAGACGGGTGAATTCCACAATCCGCTGGGCTTCATTTCACTCGTCAGGATGAAATCACTGCCTGCTGATTGAAGTGCAGAGAACAGAGGGCTAGGACAGTTGCTATGGTAACCATATGTCTTCTTTACCCCGGACATGTCCTCTTTTTGGACCTTAAAAAATTTCTAAATCGCCCAAAATTTCCAGGATTCGGCCTTTGCTTTCTATAAACGCCATTCATTGTGTGCATTTTTGTGTTAAAGTGCCCCTACTAGTCCCCAGCAACAGGTTGACATGCATGCAAGGTCAAAAAACACTTTCATTGTCTTATAATACGTGTCCCTGTAGCACAAAAGCAGTCATAAGTCGCTGGGGTATATTTGTAGCAATAGCCAACAATACATTGTATGGGTCAAAATGTTCAATTTTTCTTTGATGCCAAAAATCATTAGAGTATTAAGTAAAGATCATGTTCCATGAAGATATTTTTTTTGTAAATTTTATACAATAAATATATCAAAACTTAATGTTTGATTAGTAATATGCATTGCTAAGAACTTCATTTGAACAACTTTAAAGATGATTTGATCAATACTTAGATTTTTTTGCACCCTCAGATTCCAGATTTTCAAATAGTTGTATCTCGGCCAAATATCTCGGTCCTATCCTAACAAACCGTACATCAATGGAAAGCTAATTTATTCAGCTTTCAGATGATGTATAAATCTCAATTTCCAAAAATGTACCCTTATGACTGGTTTTGTGGTCCAGGGTCACATATGCATTTATTTTTACCTTACTTGCTCAATGACTCCCAAACGATTCGCTCAACGATTAATTTTTCCAAACCCCACTTTTGCGTGACGCTAATCTGCGGTGATTGGTTCGATTGGTCTCATGTTATTTTCATCTCGCCTGTAATGCCTGAAAAAGCAGTGTTTGTGAGCGCAGTGCTGCTTTGTGTACAACGATACCGGGGAAACCGCTATTTTACGCTCCAAAAGCGGCACCTAGTGGCAAAGAATGAATTTGCATTTTCTTTCAGACCAAAGAGAAAGGCGGGCAATATGCTAATGTTTCATGTTGATGTCAACATGAAACGGCTTATGATGTTTTAAAAACGACTCGTTTCAATGATTCAGAGTCGACTCTTTCTTTTGAGAGACAATAACTTTATACACAGTGCACTTTCAGATTTAAAACTTTGCAGGACGTTTTCATTCACTTAGAACTGTGTTACACACTGCATGAAAGGTAATTTTCAAAAATCCATTATAGGGGCACTTTAAAGCCCCGCACAAGACTGTTTTCTTAATCCTGCTCCCAATTTCTGACCATCACCGTCTGCTCACGCAAACACTCTAATATTGCATATAATTTTCGTGCATCAGGAAGCCGCTATCAATATCGCAGTATTTAAATCACTTTGGATGCAGCTCATGTTAGATGCAGGGTTGCCAAATCCGCATTTCTCCCACGGAATTGGGCTGATTTTAAACTGCTGCAGGCGGGTTGATTTTCTCCCGTGGGTTAAAGGTTTGAAATATTGCATGAATTCCATTTGAATGAAATGCTTGTATTGACACATTTTGCATTCTACCTATGATAAAACTGTGGTAGATGTTACGTTTTGTGAAGGATGGCCACTAGTAGGAAGCCTTTTAGCTTTGTTTATGATCAATCTGCAAAATATGTATTTTAGATATGGAAATGACATATTTTGAGTTTGTATATGGGATATGGTCATTGCATTACTTTGGGGGCTACTTTAACCCCCCCATCTGCGTCCTGCCCCCCACTGTCCTCTAAAATAGAGTCACCCTAACAGTTGCACCAGAGTGTAATTTACATGTACAACTGACCTATCAGTAAGCCCCTTATTTACGGTTGTGAACTCGGACAAACAAACGTTGATAACGGTCTTACAATGACAGAAATCAGTGTGAAACCTTTGTCCCAAGATGTTTTTTATACATTTTTGACAGAAAAACCACCATTCAAGTGGGAATTAAATATGCCATGGAGGGATATATAAAAGATTTTAAAATAAACTAGATTAATTTGGAAGCGAGGGTTTACAGACAACAATGCAAGCGGGAGAGGTCCTTGCACACGGAGTCTGAAATTTTCACATGCATTTTTTCGTATTCGTCATCCTAAAAATTTGTCACGCACAGAAACTTGATCCGAGACGTTACGAGCACCTCCCATCCTCCCGATAACTTTCAAACATGTCAAAA